TTTTAGTCGAACTAAAGTGTTTAAGAGCATTTTAAAAGTCCAGTTTCAGACTTTTGCAATAAATCAATATTTTTGAGAGCATATTAACGTACTGACTGGGATGTTTAGTGGGATTTGAAAGTACAGCAACTTGTAATGTAAAAATCAGCTCATTGTGTAATGAAATCATGAGCGCATTATGAAATGTCATCTCTGGACATCATGTAATAATGTAGCAATGCATTACATTATCAGTCTATTATTACATTATGAACATTTATTACATTTAAGCCATTACATTATGAGCTGTTATTACATAATGAGTTTTTACTGTTTCTTAGCATCTTTCCACACAGGCTTTAAAAAGTTAGTGAGTGCATCAGTTAGATCTGCAAAGAAAGCAGTCTCTCAGGAGACTCCTAGAACAAAGAGTATAAGTACCCTTTGAGAAGATGACTCAATGTTATCATCAGTAGTGGACATGATGAGGCAGAGGCATTGCTTCTCTCTTAATGGAAACTGAGACTCATGCTGTACGAACAAGAATGACTGTTTTTAATGTAACACTATATTTCCTTTTTTCATCAAAACTTTCAAACATTAGTCATAATCCCCCAATTTCATGATGTTAATAACTAATACCAACACCAAATTGAGTAGTTGCGAGAAGAATTTTTTTTTTTATTTCAGTATGAAAACAATGAATAGATCATCCGTGTTTCAACAAACAATAAAAAAAAAACAAAAAAAAAAACTGGCAGCTTGGACTTCATTTAAACCCGCTGGACTAATTTGAATTTAAATTAATACTTTTAAAAGCTAAGCTGCTGAAATAAATTATTGTATTTCAACTATTTTAATGGATTTGTAATTGTGTGGAAACAAATAGAAGTCTGAAAGGCCCCAAATGTAATGAGCACTGAGTGACATATTGGTGTCATTATAGTGGCCCTCTCCTCTGTGTTAGCTTTTGCCGGTATTAGATGAAGACACACACACACACAACATTAGTATTCATGGACATGTTCATCACTGACAGAGCAAGCAGGGTCTCTGTGTCCATACTGGCAGCTCCGCCACTGAGAAGAAGAGCTTTACTAAGGAGGTTTAACACAGCTCAACAGGAAGGCACAGGGTACACACATGCCTACACACACACACGCACATACACACCAGCAAATATTTGGACATACACTCAGCTGCTAGTCAAGCTGCTTTCCCTTGGGTACAGGATGCAAGACTCACTTTTCCTCTTTTATTTCAAACTCTCTGTTTACTCATGTGGATTATACCCATGATTTTTTAACATCAACCAGGTCACTTCCTCACCCCAGATTAAGCTTATATTTTATTTTACTCACTGCTTCACTTGTTTTTATCTGCCTTAAGATGTGTGTTGTTTGACTTGCATCATTCAGTGATTATTGTTCATAATGCAGCTGCCAGGCTTCTCACCACTTTTAAAGAAGAAGTTATATCACTGAAATTTGGGCCTCCCTATCAATTTTAAAATTTATTTCAAGAATTTACCCACAACTTTTGTAGAGGTATAAGAAGTATAAGCAAACATAGTGACCCCTTATGAGCCTGTGCATAGCCCTAGATTCTCAGATTGACCTTCCTGGTTATTTGAAAGTAGAGGCTCCTCGGGGCTTCTCCACTTTGGGATATTCTGAGAATCTAATTTTCTCGCAAGCATTTCAGTTAGGACCACTGGAGTCAAAAGTTATTGACTTATTTCCATATAACTTATATATGGTGCTATGAGAGTCCCCCTGCCCTTCCGGATGCAAAGTGGAAGGCCAAAGCTTCAAGCAAGGCTAACCCACTTCTCCTCTGTCTGATGTGCATGTATGAAAAACCCGGAGGAAGGCAGCACCAAAAAAAACTTTATAGAACAGAGCAGACATCAGTGACAATACATGTAAAACTGGGTGGTCAAATCAGGTGCAGCTTAGAAAGGAGGAGCTGGGGTGAAGGTGGCAAACACGTCAATCAGCCAAGCTGTCAGCCAATACATGTTAAGGTTATAAAAGAGCTAATGCACCATGGGCTAAACTTGATAGTAATCTTAAAATATGACATTTATAAACTCGCTGATGGGGGCACAATCCACCTTTAACAGTGGGAGAACACAAGAAAAATTAAAAGTTTAATTCAGAAATCAAACCTCCCTATGAGATAACCAAATTTGGTGTTTAAGACTTGGATTGTCTCTTTTTTTGGAGACAACATGTATATCTCCCCTCTGCACCCATAATTCAGGTAATGCATCATGGGGCCTGGAAATAAGGTGGATAAATAAGTTCTAATTAAAATAGCATTAAAAAAAAATATTTAAAAAATAACTAAAATAGCCTACATAAATGGATAAAAGCATTTCAGAGGAACCCCCCAATATAGGAATATAAACAGAGCCACTTAACCAAATGGCATTTTTGCATACATAGTATACTATGCACGAACAAATGAGCATGTCTGGTGCTCCTGCATGTCCACGGTAACAGAATAATTTCACACTTTGAACCTCTTTCCATGATGACTTCATGTTCCTGGACAGGTTTTTCACTCAGGTGTTCCTCAAGATTTACATGGTTTCGAAGGGACAAAGACACATCAAGTGTATTTATGCTGGAGTGTAGTGGTTTCAAAGATGAAACATCATCACCATGGTTACCTTTCAGGCAGGCTGGGTCACACTGCATTCCCTTGTTGGTGACAATATTAGTGCACAGTAATAATTAAATGTGCAGATCCTCAATAACTGTTTGAATGTACAAAATACAGCTTGCAATTTGATGTCCATTGTGTTCATGTTGCATGTTGCACATTAGGGCTTGAGTTTACACTTCAGCACTTTCATTTAGTCTCTGAGGACTTTTCCAACATGATGTTAAACCAGGGTCATAATAATAAGTGTTCATAACAGGAGCATTTTATGTTGACATATAACTGTTTAACTTTGTTGTCTCTGTACAGCTGCAGAAGCACGATCAAGAAGATGAAGACGTCCCCTCCAAGTGGAGATCAGAAGAGGAAATGGCAGCAGAAGCTTCAGACCTGAAGAAACAGCTGGGAGAGCACTAGATATTAATGGACAGTGGCAGAAAGCTCAAAAATAATCTGGCAGCTTGATAAAAAAAAAGGATAACAGTGCTACTAAAGGTAGACAAACAGCTGCACATATAGGTGAAAAATATTGGGATGACTCAGCACTGATCCATCAAGTCCCCACCATTTGTTCCAAACACACCGTAGATTGTTTTCTGTGTTCAAGTGTAAATTACACGTCTGACCAACTTGTATGAAATTGTTCTCTCATATCACAAATGCCATATTAAACTCAGTTTTTTAACGGATGTGATTTTTTTATATACTGTATATATCCATACACTGTGTGTATTTACCAGGGGTATACAGCTTTGGCTGCTTCTTCATTACCCAACTGTTGATACCAGTGTTTCATTTCTAGATGGCTGATAAAACTCATTATAAAGTGCACTGATTTAGTACCACTGAAGGTGTATCTTTCCCTTTGAGTCAGCCTCACTTCATGTCCCATCCACAGCTCTATCTGAATGGCACAATATCACTATCATGATCCGACTGGAAGTTACAACAACCAGTTAGTGTAACTGGTTTACTGTTAACTTCTGTAAATGTTGCTGAGAGTTTCAGTTTCCATTTAACTTTTGCCAAAAAAGGTGTAAAAAAAAAAATAATGTTGGAGTTTGTGATATTCCAAATTCTGAATTTTCTCAGAAATATCTCATTTTTACCATAAATGCATATTGGGTCCAAAGAGTAATGTACTTAGGCTGCTTGAGAGGCAGGAGCTTACAAAGCTAGGAGCACCTGCTGTATAATATGAGGCTCAAGGGAACAGGAATGATGTTCTGTCTCTAGCAGCATATGAAAGACTGTTTTACAAGCCTCTATGTCTTTGCTGCAGCATTCTGTGATCAGGAGGTCAGTGGATGACAGCCTGTCCAAAATGATGCTGGGCAAGTAAAGCATTCAGTTTGGCAACCCACCAGGTAGCCTGGTTTTCGAACCCTTAACAACCACAGCATAGGGTTCATTTAAACATAATGGGGTGGAAGTGATCAGGGCAGTCTGGTCTCTTGGAAAAGTTAAATAAAATACAAATTATACTGATTTGCATCTTCAATTTATAAAAGATTTTAAGAGTATTCAACAATTAAACGTATACAGTTTAATTACAAAAAAAAATACTGAAAGTCACCTTGATCAGTGAAAGAACGCTCAGGGACCTCTTTTTAACATTTCCTCAACTACAGACAACCAGAGGGCTCTTGACATGTTTCTTTGTGCTGGAGGTCTGTACAAAAGACCACATTTTTGTATTGAAATGGCATCCTGAGGGCGTGTTTCATCTCTACTAGAATTTTTTTTGTGCATTGGCCATGGAATAGGCATCAGCATTTCATAATGTCTACATTACATCAGGAGCCACTAAGAGGGCACGTCCATGGCGATCTTGCATCCCCTAAGTATAACACTGGTTCTACATATCCGTTATTGGTCTCATAAACTGCTATTATCAGCTCTAAAAAGATGACCCCGTGTGTCTCCACCCCCAAACTCATAATTAGCTTTGGAAAGAAGATTAAGTTTATTGAATGGGGGACAAAAAAGCTCCTGACATCAACAGTGAGCAAAGTCTGTGCTACTGTGTTTACCTGGTTCATTTTCCTTTGGCTATAAATTTAGTATATCTGTTATTTGATGTTTACTTCTAACCAACATGAAGAAAAAGCTTTTACACTGCACAGTTCTTGGAAAAAATCAAATAAAATTTGAGCCCTGGCACTGAGCGGTTCATTGATCTTTGTACAAGTGCTTGGTGCAGGTCAAATATGCAGTTAAGATAGACTCAGAGAATTCATCTTCTAGTGCCACCATGAACTCATGAAAGAGAGGAAATTAGAAGTATTTAAAAGTCTCGGTTTTATCCTATCCCAGCTCCACTGGGTGAATTGAAGTGCATGCTGGGATATCTCTCCAAGTTCACCCAGAAGTCAGCGCCCGGAGCATCGTACATCAAATGGGAGGAGTGAGGACACTTCAGTTCATTTGGACTACTCGACTTTGAACCAGGACAGTACACGTAGGTTTTCCCAAAGTGCTCCAATAAGCTGTTTTAAAAGTGCAGAGTTCAGGAAAATTTCATCAGAACAGAAGAGAAACTCAATTTTCACTGAGATCAACATTCTTTACTTGAAAACTGATGACCGTCATGAGCATCTCCTACTTCCATTGTTGTGTTCACAGGCAGCATCTATGTTTTTATATCTTGATGAATGCTGAACACAGAGCAGTTATCCGGGGCATTGGTTCACATTTCTTCAGCTGGAGAGCAGTGTGTGGCAGCCCATGGCTCTTTGTGGGAATCAAGCTGTTAAAGGCACCATGAATTTTAAACAACATTACTAAGGATGAGGGGTTTTTAAAGGGCAATAATTAGGAGTCTTGAGGGAGGAAATCCATCAAATATTGGTCTGAGCAGAAATGGCTGCCAGCCCAGAGAGCCTGATTCCAGTCAAACAGACTCACTTCAAATAATCCACATCTGTAGAAGGCCAGGAGTTTGGTACTGTATATTTCAGTCGGAGCTAGTATATTCAACTCAGTGGAACTAATTGAAGTATCTCCAATTTGGATTTACTCCCCATTCTTTGTTAACTTACCAGTGGTTTTGGACTGATGAACTCGATGCTGGTTTTACAGCCTGCTTGCCAGTATAAATGGTAAAAATCCAGAGTTATACCATTGATTGTGAGCACTTCATAAGACTTTTCATGGCAGCTTTAGTCGAGTTATGATTGTCTGTTGGAGAATTTAAAAGTACTGCAGTTCATCACCCTTACAGAGGACCTTTAGAGATGTTGTGTTCTGTTAATAACACAGTCATTTCAGCTCCATGGCTGATATGTGGATTAAATTGAGATCATGAGAAACATGTAAGCAAGAGGTGTGTGTACCTTTAATGATTACATGATGATCTGTTCGGTCAGACTAATGCTATAACCAATTATTTCAAACAACATCTAAATGTACTCAATGTCACATTTACATACAGTTTAACCACTACGTCTCCATTCAAAAACTTGGTTTTCAAATATGGCTTGTGTAACTGTATTTTGCCACATTTGCATAGTAGTTCTGCACTTGAAAAAGTATATCTTCCGAGATCAATTTGGTAAATGCATTCCTTTTTTTTTTTTTTTTCAAAGATGTTTTCAGATGTTGCTAAAATCCCAACCTTTTAATATGGCTTGTCAAACTGAACCTAGCATATCATGCTGGGCTCAGTTGCCTGGACAGAAACAATCAACATAAATCAGTGATATGAAAAGTATGCCATATATTTGAATTTCAATGAGCCATTCAAATACGTAATTATTCAGTATACCAGCATCAGGCCGCCTGAAGTAGCTCTCATATGATCCAGCAGATGGCGCTCTCATAATGACCTGGCCAATCCAGGTCAATCTTGACCTCAGTAGACACGTTAGTCAATCAACAGCACTGAACAGACAGTCAAAACACTAAAAGATCTGAGTTTTGATAGATGTCTTAATGGGGTCCTTTGAGGAAGGACATGGGGAACTACACCACAGATGGAAAATAAACTGGCAGCCCTCCTTCTTACAGGCAACTATTATTTATAGGTCCCACATTACGCAAAATTCACTTTAGAATGCTTTTCTAACAATAATATGTATCCCCAGCCAAGTTTGTTGGCTGCACAAATCAGCACAGAAGTCTGTTTCCGTAGACTGAAAGAACATGGTCACCAGAAATAACTATACTTACAATATTGTGCATTCACCAAAAGAGCTCCAAGTAACGAGAAGACAGCGGAGATGTAACCATTAGCATGAACTAATGTTACCTAGCTACATGTTAGTCACTGTGTACCAACACACGAACAAAGTACAAAGAAAAATGTGGAGACACATAATACTTCTAAGTAACCATTCAGAAATGTCCTGCTGCAGACACAGTTGGAATTTCTTCAGGAGCCTTTCTTTTTTAGACAACAAACTTCAAATTGACTGTTCTGAGACCGATGTGAACCTGCTGAAAAGGAGTATGATATGGGACCTTTCAGTTAAGTATTGCAGACTGGTGCGAACACTCCAACGCAGACGTACGTAGTGCTCAATACAACGTCAGCCACTCTGGCACAGAAGCATAAACCAGTTAGACCCCCTTCAAAATTAGTTAAAAACTCCTCACAGTGCCTTTTTGGTGCTCTAAGGAATAACAGCAAAAAGACCATAACTTAATGTATATTTGATAACTTCTAATGAGGATCAAGTTCAGGAAAGGCCATGGGCTGATTCAATAAAATCATTATCATACCATCTAGATTATGCTCTGTAAAAAGAAAAGCATTCAGAGACAAAAATGAGCAAACTCGTGTTTAAATTGAAAAGGTTAATTTACTCTGCAGAGAGAAAATCATTGAATAAAATTCATCCCAACAATCTTCAGATTATGTTTGTTATATTAGGAGGTGGCCAAGATGGTTTTACAGAGTTCATCATGTCAGACTGTGCATGCAGGCACCAAATGCACACTTTGCTGAACACAGTGAATTTTGTAGTGAGCTGTTGGATTCTGCCTGTAACACCATCACCACGAGAGTACAGAAAAAGAGAATATATAGTGGTTGAATGGTCCTTCATTATCAAGTGGTGTTATAAGTGGTTGAAAGATCTATGAAAAGCTTGTTGGATGACTGCACTTGATTACACTTCTTGCATGGAGTTGCTTTAAACCTTCACACCATACACATAATATATGCAGGTATATATTACCTTCCTGCTGTTCTTGTTGTAGCTTATGGCTATTTATAAACCTGGCTAACTAGAAACAGCATCCCTTTCCGCTCCACGTGGTCTCTCTTTTCTAGTAAATTTATAAATATAAACTTGACCAGAACCAATCTTTATGATAATTTCATGTAATAAGACCTCCATGTGCATCAAAAGTGTGCAGATAAAAAATTAAAAAACTAATTTAAAGAGACTCTATCTTCTCCTCTCTAACCAGAGAGGTTTAAAAGGCATACAAGAGAGGAGGGGATCTGTTAAATCCCACACCTATTTTCCAAGCTGCGTAAATTGATTAAATAGACATAATGTTAGTCAAGATAAGGGATGCTCCAAAGGTGCAGTGTGCCTGTGTGTGGCTACTATGTAGGAAATAAAGAAATTGGAAAGTCTGTACTGAGCTGGCCTTGGCCATGAGTGCTCCTGATGGAATTGTAGCTCATTGTTGTTGTACCCACAAGCCTCTATGTTGCTACATCAGCCGCTGAAGCACACAAAAGTGGCACAAAATTCTCACAGAATCAACCAACAATGAAAGCCGTGAGTGCCTACAATGAAAAGGAAACTGTCTATTAGTTTTTGACATTATCTCTTTTATTACTTATTTAAAACTGCCTAAAGTAATAACGCTGTAGATGTTTAACAAAAGATGTTAGCAGGGGCAGAGATATTTGCAGCATTCTTAGGGGGGCTACAGAAAGTCCAATATTTCCCCAACCATTAATGAATTCAATTAAAATGAATTCAAATGGTTTTGTCAGCAGGCCATCAGCTTTAGAGGCTGTCGAGATGTGCTGCTGGTCTGGTGTTTGACACGTTGCAGGGTTGCAACAATGGCAGGGAGGATCAGGATCAGGGCTTCAGTGGTCTGCTTACGAAAGGCCCACTGTGTGTCTGACAGGCTCTTCAGAGTGAGGATAGTTCTCTCCAGCTGCTTGTTATCATGCTCTTCTTCTAGTATTTTAAATCTTGTGAGGTTGGATGTTAAAAAAAATGATGCGTACATTTTTTATGCATCTCAATGCTCTCTGAAAATTCAAAACTCAGATCAGTTCATACTTTCTCAGATTTTTCCTTGGAGTTTTTGCTAAATAGCCAACAACAAAAAAAAACAGACTGTTTGCTCTGGGAGAATAAACCAACTCTGTCGCTCCATGGTACCTGACGCTTAACCCTAACCCTAACCCTAACCCTAGCCCCAACCCTAACCCTAACCCTAGCTCTAACCCTAACCCTAACCCTAGCTCCAACCCTAACCCTAACCCTAACCCTAGCTCCAACCTTAACCCTAACCCTAACCCTAGCTCCAACCCTAACCCTAACCCAAACCCTAAGTAAACTTTTCAAAAAACTTCCCCCAGAATTAGGTTCTATAGACTCCCCGTGCCCTGAAACGTGCTCCTAACACAATTCTGGAAGGTGAAAAATTGGGTTGGCACTTAAAAAAATTTTCAAATTTTTTTTCCCATGCATTCCTATGGGAAAAAATCAAATTTTTTTAGGAACGTCCTAGAGACTCGGGAGTTGGTTCATTGCACTCAGAAAAATCCTAGCTCCAAGCCCAACCCTAACCCTAGCTCCAACACTAACCCTAACTCCAACCCTAACCCTAACCCTAACCCTGGCTCCAACCCTAACCCTAACCCTAACCCTAGCTCCAACCTTAACCCTAACCCTAACCCTAACCCTAGCCCCAACCCTAACCCTAGCTCTAACCCTAACCCTAACCCTAGCTCCACCCTAATCCTAACCCTAACCCTAACCCTAGCTCCAACCTTAACCCTAACCCTAACCCTAGCTCCAACCCTAACCCTAACCCAAGCCCTAAGTAAACTTTGCAAAAAACTTCCCCCATAATTAGGTTCTATAGACTCCCCGTGCCCTGAAACGTGCTCCTAACACAATTATGGAAGGTGAAAAATTGGGTTGGCACTTAAAAAATTTTTCAAATTTTTTTTCCCATGCATTCCTATGGGAAAAAATCCAATTTTTTTAGGAACGTCCTAGAGACTCGGGAGTTGGTTCATTGCACTCAGAAAAATCCTAGCTCCAAGCCCAACCCTAACCCTAGCTCCAACACTAACCCTAACTCCAACCCTAACCCTAACCCTGGCTCCAACCCTAACCCTAACCCTAACCCTAGCTCCAACCTTAACCCTAACCCCAACCCTAGCCCCAACCCTAACCCTAGCTCTAACCCTAACCCTAACCCTAGCTCCACCCTAATCCTAACCCTAACCCTAACCCTAGCTCCAACCTTAACCCTAACCCTAACCCTAGCTCCAACCCTAACCCTAACCCAAACCCTAAGTAAACTTTTCAAAAAACTTCCCCCAGAATTAGGTTCTATAGACTCCCCGTGACCTGAAACGTGCTCCTAACACAATTCTGGAAGGTCAAAAATTGGGTTGGCACTTGGTTCATTGCACTCAGAAAAATCCTAGCTCCAAGCCCAACCCTAACCCTAGCTCCAACACTAACCCTAACTCCAACCCTAACCCTAACCCTAACCCTAGCTCCAACCCTAACCCTAACCCTAACCCATGCATTCCTATGGGAAAAAAAACAAATTTTTTTAGGAACGTCCTAGAGACTCGGGAGTTGGTTCATTACACTCAGAAAAATCCTAGCTCCAAGCCCAACCCTAACCCTAGCTCCAACACTAACCCTAACTCCAACCCTAACCCTAACCCTAACCCTAACCCTAGCTCCAACCCTAACCCTAACCCTAACCCATGCATTCCTATGGGAAAAAAATCAAATTTTTTTAGGAACGTCCTAGAGACTCGGGAGTTGGTTCATTACACTCAGAAAAATCCTAGCTCCAAGCCCAACCCTAACCCTAGCTCCAACACTAACCCTAACTCCAACCCTAACCCTAACCCTAACCCTAGCTCCAACCCTAACCCTAACCCTAACCCATGCATTCCTATGGGAAAAAAAATCAAATTTTTTTAGGAACGTCCTAGAGACTCGGGAGTTGGTTCATTGCACTCAGAAAAATCCTAGCTCCAAGCCCAACCCTAACCCTAGCTCCAACACTAACCCTAACTCCAACCCTAACCCTAACCCTGCTCCAACCCTAACCCTAACCCTAACCCTAGCTCCAACCTTAACCCTAACCCTACCCTAGCCCCAACCCTAACCCTAGCTCTAACCCTACCAACCCTAGCCCACCCTAATCCAACCCTAACCCTAAGCATTCCTATGGGAAAAAATCAAATTTTTTAGGAACGTCCTAGAGACTCGGAATTGCACTCAGAAAAATCCTAGCTCCAAGCCCAACCCTAACCCTAGCTCCAACACTAACCCTAACTCCAACCCTAACCCTAACCCTAATAGTCAACCTAACCCGTAACCCTAACCCATGCATTCCTATGGGAAAAAATCAAATTTTTAGGAAGGTCAAAAATTGGGTTGGCACTTGGTTCATTGCACTCAGAAAAATCCTAGCTCCAAGCCCAACCCTAACTCTAGCTCCAACACTAACCCTAACTCCAACCCTAACCCTAACCCTAACCCTAGCTCCAACCCTAACCCTAACCCTAACCCTAACCCTAACCCATGCATTCCTATGGTGAAAAATCAAATTTTTTTAGGAACGCCCTAGAGACTCGGGAGTTGGTTCATTGCACTCAGAAAAATCCTAGCTCCAAGCCCAACCCTAACCCTAGCTCCAACACTAACCCTAACTCCAACCCTAACCCTAACCCTAACCCTAGCTCCAACCCTAACCCTAACCCTAACCCATGCATTCCTATGGGAAAAAATCTATTTTTTTTTAGGAACGTCCAAGAGACTCGGGAGTTGGTTCATTGCACTCAGAAAAATCCTAGCTCCAAGCCCAACCCTAACCCTAGCTCCAACACTAACCCTAACTCCAACCCTAACCCTAACCCTAACCCTAGCTCCAACCCTAACCCTAACCCTAACCCATGCATTCCTATGGGAAAAAAAACAAATTTTTTTAGGAACGTCCTAGAGACTCGGGAGTTGGTTCATTACACTCAGAAAAATCCTAGCTCCAAGCCCAACCCTAACCCTAGCTCCAACACTAACCCTAACTCCAACCCTAACCCTAACCCTGGCTCCAACCCTAACCCTAACCCTAACCCTAGCTCCAACCCTAACCCTAACCCAAACCCTAAGTAAACTTTTCAAAAAACTTCCCCCAGAATTAGGTTCTATAGACTCCCCGTGACCTGAAACGTGCTCCTAACACAATTCTGGAAGGTCAAAAATTGGGTTGGCACTTGGTTCATTGCACTCAGAAAAATCCTAGCTCCAAGCCCAACCCTAACCCTAGCTCCAACACTAACCCTAACTCCAACCCTAACCCTAACCCTAACCCTAACCCTAGCTCCAACCCTAACCCTAACCCTAACCCATGCATTCCTATGGGAAAAAATCAATTTTTTTTAGGAACGTCCTAGAGACTCGGGAGTTGGTTCATTACACTCAGAAAAATCCTAGCTCCAAGCCCAACCCTAACCCTAGCTCCAACACTAACCCTAACTCCAACCCTAACCCTAACCCTAACCCTAGCTCCAACCCTAACCCTAACCCTAACCCATGCATTCCTATGGGAAAAAATCAATTTTTTTTAGGAACGTCCTAGAGACTCGGGAGTTGGTTCATTGCACTCAGAAAAATCCTAGCTCCAAGCCCAACCCTAACCCTAGCTCCAACACTAACCCTAACTCCAACCCTAACCCTAACCCTAACCCTAGCTCCAACCCTAACCCTAACCCTAACCCATGCATTCCTATGGGAAAAAAAACAATTTTTTTTAGGAACGTCCTAGAGACTCGGGAGTTGGTTCATTACACTCAGAAAAATCCTAGCTCCAAGCCCAACCCTAACCCTAGCTCCAACACTAACCCTAACTCCAACCCTAACCCTAACCCTAACCCTAGCTCCAACCCTAACCCTAACCCTAACCCATGCATTCCTATGGGAAAAAAATCAAATTTTTTTAGGAACGTCCTAGAGACTCGGGAGTTGGTTCATTGCACTCAGAAAAATCCTAGCTCCAAGCCCAACCCTAACCCTAGCTCCAACACTAACCCTAACTCCAACCCTAACCCTAACCCTAACCCTAGCTCCAACCCTAACCCTAACCCTAACCCATGCATTCCTATGGGAAAAAAATCAAATTTTTTAGGAACGTCCTAGAGACTCGGGAGTTGGTTCATTGCACTCAGAAAAATCCTAGCTCCAAGCCCAACCCTAACCCTAGCTCCAACACTAACCCTAACTCCAACCCTAACCCTAACCCTAACCCTAGCTCCAACCCTAACCCTAACCCTAACCCATGCATTCCTATGGGAAAAAATCAAATTTTTTAGGAACCCTAGAACCCGGGAGTTGGTTCATTGCACTCAGAAAAATCCTAGCTCCAAGCCCAACCCTAACCCTAGCTCCAACACTAACCCTAACTCCAACCCTAACCCTAACCCTAACCCTAGCTCCAACCCTAACCCTAACCCTAACCCATGCATTCCTATGGGAAAAAAATCAAATTTTCTTTAGGAACGTCCTAGAGACTCGGGAGTTGGTTCATTGCACTCAGAAAAATCCTAGCTCCAAGCCCAACCCTAACCCTAGCTCCAACACTAACCCTAACTCCAACCCTAACCCTAACCCTAACCCTAGCTCCAACCCAACCCTAACCCTAACCCTAACCCTAACCCATGCATTCCTATGGGAAAAAATCAAATTTTTTTAGGAACGTCCTAGAGACTCGGGAGTTGGTTCATTGCACTCAGAAAAATCCTAGCTCCAAGCCCAACCCTAACCCTAGCTCCAACACTAACCCTAACTCCAACCCTAACCCTAACCCTAACCCTAGCTCCAACCCTAACCCTAACCCTAACCCTAACCCATGCATTCCTATGGGAAAAAAATCAAATTTTTTTAGGAACGTCCTAGAGACTCGGGAGTTGGTTCATTGCACTCAGAAAAATCCTAGCTCCAAGCCCAACCCTAACCCTAGCTCCAACACTAACCCTAACTCCAACCCTAACCCTAACCCTAACCCTAGCTCCAACCCTAACCCTAACCCTAACCCATGCATTCCTATGGGAAAAAAATCAAATTTTTTTAGGAACGTCCTAGAGACTCGGGAGTTGGTTCATTGCACTCAGAAAAATCCTAGCTCCAAGCCCAACCCTAACCCTAGCTCCAACACTAACCCTAACTCCAACCCTAACCCTAACCCTAACCCTAGCTCCAACCCTAACCCTAACCCTAACCCATGCTCCTATGGGAAAAAATCAATTTTTAGGAACCCTAGAGACTCGGGAGTTGGTTCATGCACTCAGAAAAATCCTAGCTCCAAGCCCAACCCTAACCCTAGCTCCACCCTCCAACCCTAACCCTAACCCTAACTCCAACCCTAACCCTAACCCTAACCCTAGCTCCAACCCAAACCCTAACCCAAACCCAAGTAAACTTTTGAATAACTCCCAGAATTAGGTTCTATAGACTCCCGTGCCCTGAAACGTGCTCCTAACACAATTCTGGAAGGTCAAAAATTGGGTTGGTTGGTTCATTGCACTCAGAAAAATCCTAGCTCCAAGCCCAACCCTAACCCTAGCTCCAACACTAACCCTAACTCCAACCCTAACCCTAACCCTAACCCTAGCTCCAACCCTAACCCTAACCCTAACCCTAACCCATGCATTCCTATGGGAAAAAATCAAATTTTTTTAGGAACGCCCTAGAGACTCGGGAGTTGGTTCATTGCACTCAGAAAAATCCTAGCTCCAAGCCCAACCCTAACCCTAGCTCCAACACTAACCCTAACTCCAACCCTAACCCTAACCCTAACCCTAGCTCCAACCCTAACCCTAACCCTAACCCATGCATTCCTATGGGAAAAAATCAATTTTTTTTAGGAACGTCCAAGAGACTCGGGAGTTGGTTCATTGCACTCAGAAAAATCCTAGCTCCAAGCCCAACCCTAACCCTAGCTCCAACACTAACCCTAACTCCAACCCTAACCCTAACCCTAACCCTAGCTCCAACCCTAACCCTAACCCTAACCCATGCATTCCTATGGGAAAAAAAATCAAATTTTTTTAGGAACGTCCTAGAGACTCGGGAGTTGGTTCATTGCACTCAGAAAAATCCTAGCTCCAAGCCCAACCCTAACCCTAGCTCCAACACTAACCCTAACTCCAACCCTAACCCTAACCCTAACCCTAGCTCCAACCCTAACCCTAACCCTAACCCATGCATTCCTATGGGAAAAAAATCAATTTTTTTAAGAACGTCCTAGAGACTCGGGAGTTGGTTCATTGCACTCAGAAAAATCCTAGCTCCAAGCCCAACCCTAACCCTAGCTCCAACACTAACCCTAACTCCAACCCTAACCCTAACTCCAACCCTAACCCTAACCCTAACCCTAACCCATGCATTCCTATGGGAAAAAATCAAATCTTTTTAGGAACGCCCTAGAGACTCGGGAGTTGGTTCATTGCACTCAGAAAAATCCTAGCTCCAAGCCCAACCCTAACCCTAGCTCCAACACTAACCCTAACTCCAACCCTAACCCTAACCCTAACCCTAGCTCCAACCCTAACCCTAACCCTAACCCATGCATTCCTATGGGAAAAAAATCTATTTTTTTTAGGAACGTCCTAGAGACTCGGGAGTTGGTTCATTGCACTCAGAAAAATCCTAGCTCCAAGCCCAACCCTAACCCTAGCTGCAACACTAACCCTAACTCCAACCCTAACCCTAACCCTAACCCTAGCTCCAACCCTAACCCTAACCCTAACCCATGCATTCCTATGGGAAAAAATCAAATTTTTTAGGAACGTCCTAGAGACTCGGGAGTTGGTTCATTGCACTCAGAAAAATCCTAGCTCCAAGCCCAACCCTAACCCTAGCTCCAACACTAACCCTAACTCCAACCCTAACCCTAACCCTAACCCTAGCTCCAACCCTAACCCTAACCCTAACCCATGCATTCCTATGGGAAAAAATCTTTTTTTAGGAACGTCCTAGAGACTCGGGAGTTGGTTCATTGCACTCAGAAAAATCCTAGCTCCAAGCCCAACCCTAACCCTAGCTCCAACACTAACCCTAACTCCAACCCTAACCCTAACCCTAACCCTAGCGCCAACCCTAACCCTAAACCTAACCCATGCATTCCTATGGGAAAAAAATCAATTTTTTTAGGAACGTCCTAGAGACTCGGGAGTTGGTTCATTGCACTCAGAAAAATCCTAGCTCCAAGCCCATCCCTTAACCCTAGCTCCAACATTAACCCTAACTCCAACCCTAACCCTAACCCTAACCCTAGCTCCAACCCTAACCCTAAACCTAACCCATGCATTCCTATGGGAAAAAATGAAATTTTTTTAGGAACGTCCTAGAGATTCGGGAGTTGGTTCATTGCACTCAGAAAAATCCTAGCTCCAAGCCCAACCCTAACCCTAGCTCCAACACTAACCCTAACTCCAACCCTAACCCTAACCCTAACCCTAGCTCCAACCCTAACCCTAACCCTAACCCTAACCCATGCATTCCTATGGGAAAAAAATCTATTTTTTTTAGGAACGTCCTAGAGACTCGGGAGTTGGTTCATTGCACTCAGAAAAATCCTAGCTCCAAGCCCAACCCTAACCCTAGCTCCAACACTAACCCTAACTCCAACCCTAACCCTAACCCTAACCCTAGCTCCAACCCTAACCCTAACCCTAACCCATGCATTCCTATGGGAAAAAATCAAATTTTTGTAGGAACATCCTAGAGACTCGGGAGTTGGTTCATTGCACTCAGAAAAATCCTAGCTCCAAGCCCAACCCTAACCCTAGCTCCAACACTAACCCTAACTCCAACCCTAACCCTAACCCTAACCCTAGCTCCAACCCTAACCCTAAACCTAACCCATGCATTCCTATGGGAAAAAAATCAATTTTTTTTAGGAACGTCCTAGAGACTCGGGAGTTGGTTCATTACACTCAGAAAAATCCTAGCTCCAAGCCCAACCCTAACCCTAGCTCCAACACTAACCCTAACTCCAACCCTAACCCTAACCCTGACCCTAGCTCCAACCCTAACCCTAACCCTAACCCATGCATTCCTATGGGAAAAAATCAATTTTTTTTAGGAACGTCCTAGAGACTCGGGAGTTGGTTCATTGCACTCAGAAAAATCCTAGCTCCAAGCCCAACCCTAACCCTAGCTCCAACACTAACCCTAACTCCAACCCTAACCCTAACCCTAACCCTAGCTCCAACCCTAACCCTAACCCTAACCCATGTATTCCTATGGGAAAAAAATCAAATTTTTTTAGGAACGTCCTAGAGACTCGGGAGTTGGTTCATTGCACTCAGAAAAATCCTAGCTCCAAGCCCAACCCTAACCCTAGCTCCAACACTAACCCTAACTCCAACCCTAACCCTAACCCTGGCTCCAACCCTAACCCAAACCCTAACCCTAGCTCCAACCTTAACCCTAACCCTAACCCTAGCCCCAACCCTAACCCTAGCTCTAACCCTAACCCTAACCCTAGCTCCACCCTAATCCTAACCCTAACCCTAACCCTAGCTCCAACCTTAACCCTAACCCTAACCCTAGCTCCAACCCAAACCCTAACCCAAACCCTAAGTAAACTTTTCGAATAACTTCCCCCAGAATTAGGTTCTATAGACTCCCCGTGCCCTGAAACGTGCTCCTAACACCATTCTGGAAGGTCAAAAATTGGGTTGGCACTTGGTTCATTGCACTCAGAAAAATCCTAGCTCCAAGCCCAACCCTAACCCTAGCTCCAACACTAACCCTAACTCCAACCCTAACCCTAACCCTAACCCTAGCTCCAACCCTAACCCTAACCCTAACCCATGCATTCCTATGGGAAAAAATCTATTTTTTTTTAGGAACGTCCAAGAGACTCGGGAGTTGGTTCATTGCACTCAGAAAAATCCTAGCTCCAAGCCCAACCCTAACCCTAGCTCCAACACTAACCCTAACTCCAACCCTAACCCTAACCCTAACCCTAGCTCCAACCCTAACCCTAACCCATGCATTCCTATGGGAAAAAAAACAAATTTTTTTAGGAACGTCCTAGAGACTCGGGAGTTGGTTCATTACACTCAGAAAAATCCTAGCTCCAAGCCCAACCCTAACCCTAGCTCCAACACTAACCCTAACTCCAACCCTAACCCTAACCCTAACCCTAGCTCCAACCCTAACTCCAACCCTAACCCTAACCCTAACCCATGCATTCCTATGGGAAAAAATCAATTTTTTTAGGAACGTCCTAGAGACTCGGGAGTTGGTTCATTGCACTCAGAAAAATCCTAGCTCCAAGCCAAACCCTAACCCTAGCTCCAACACTAACCCTAACTCCAACCCTAACCCTAACCCTAACCCTAGCTCCAACCCTAACCCTAACCCTAACCCATGCATTCCTATGGGAAAAAATCATTTTTAGGAACGTCCTAGAGACTCGGGAGTTGGTTCATTGCACTCAGAAAAATCCTAGCTCCAAGCCCAACCCTAACCCTAGCTCCAACACTAACCCTAACTCCAACCCTAACCCTAACCCTAACCCTAGCTCCAACCCTAACCCTAACCCTAACCCATGCATTCCTATGGGAAAAAATCAAATTTTTGTAGGAACATCCTAGAGACTCGGGAGTTGGTTCATTGCACTCAGAAAAATCCTACCTCCAAGCCCAACCCTAACCCTAGCTCCAACACTAACCCTAACTCCAACCCTAACCCTAACCCTAACCCTAGCTCCAACCCTAACCCTAACCCTAACCCATGCATTCCTATGGGAAAAAATCATTTTTTTTTAGGAACGTCCTAGAGACTCGGGAGTTGGTTCATTGCACTCAGAAAAATCCTAGCTCCAAGCCCAACCCTAACCCTAGCTCCAACACTAACCCTAACTCCAACCCTAACCCTAACCCTAACCCTAGCGCCAACCCTAACCCTAAACCTAACCCATGCATTCCTATGGGATAAAATTAATTTTTTTAGGAACGTCCTAGAGACTCGGGAGTTGGTTCATTGCACTCAGAAAAATCCTAGCTCCAAGCCCATCCCTTAACCCTAGCTCCAACATTAACCCTAACTCCAACCCTAACCCTAACCCTAGCTCCAACCCTAACCCTAAACCTAACCCATGCATTCCTATGGGAAAAAATCAAATTTTTTTAGGAACGTCCTAGAGATTCGGGAGTTGGTTCATTGCACTCAGAAAAATCCTAGCTCCAAGCCCAACCCTAACCCTAGCTCCAACACTAACCCTAACTCCAACCCTAACCCTAACCCTAACCCTAGCTCCAACCCTAACCCTAACCCTAACCCATGCATTCCTATGGGAAAAAATCAAATTTTTGTAGGAACATCCTAGAGACTCGGGAGTTGGTTCATTGCACTCAGAAAAATCCTAGCTCCAAGCCCAACCCTAACCCTAGCTCCAACACTAACCCTAACTCCAACCCTAACCCTAATCCTAACCCTAGCTCCAACCCTAACCCTAAACCTAACCCATGCATTCCTATGGGAAAAAATCAAATTTTTTTAGGAACGTCCTAGAGATTCGGGAGTTGGTTCATTACACTCAGAAAAATCCTAGCTCCAAGCCCACCCCTAACCCTAGCTCCAACACTAACCCTAACTCCAACTCCAACCCTAACCCTAACCCTAGCTCCAACCCTAACCCTAACCCTAACCCTAACCCATGCATTCCTATGGGAAAAAAATCTATTTTTTTTAGGAACGTCCTAGAGACTCGGGAGTTGGTTCATTGCACTCAGAAAAATCCTAGCTCCAAGCCCAACCCTAACCCTAGCTCCAACACTAACCCTAACTCCAACCCTAACCCTAACCCTAACCCTAGCTCCAACCCTAACCCTAAACCTAACCCATGCATTCCTATGGGAAAAAATCAATTTTTTTTAGGAACGTCCTAGAGATTCGGGAGTTGGTTCATTGCACTCAGAAAAATCCTAGCTCCAAGCCCAACCCTAACCCTAGCTCCAACACTAACCCTAACTCCAACCCTAACCCTAACCCTAACCCTGGCTCCAACCCTAACCCTAACCCTAACCCTAGCTCCAACCTTAACCCTAACCCTAACCCTAACCCTAGCCCCAACCCTAACCCTAGCTCTAACCCTAACCCTAACCCTAGCTCCACCCTAATCCTAACCCTAACCCTAACCCTAGCTCCAACCTTAACCCTAACCCTAACCCTAGCTCCAACCCTAACCCTAACCCAAGCCCTAAGTAAACTTTGCAAAAAACTTCCCCCATAATTAGGTTCTATAGACTCCCCGTGCCCTGAAACGTGCTCCTAACACAATTATGGAAGGTGAAAAATTGGGTTGGCACTTAAAAAATTTTTCAAATTTTTTTTCCCATGCATTCCTATGGGAAAAAATCCAATTTTTTTAGGAACGTCCTAGAGACTCGGGAGTTGGTTCATTGCACTCAGAAAAATCCTAGCTCCAAGCCCAACCCTAACCCTAGCTCCAACACTAACCCTAACTCCAACCCTAACCCTAACCCTGGCTCCAACCCTAACCCTAACCCTAACCCTAGCTCCAACCTTAACCCTAACCCCAACCCTAGCCCCAACCCTAACCCTAGCTCTAACCCTAACCCTAACCCTAGCTCCACCCTAATCCTAACCCTCTAACCCTAACCCTAGCTCCAACCTTAACCCTAACCCTAACCCTAGCTCCAACCCTAACCCTAACCCAAACCCTAAGTAAACTTTTCAAAAAACTTCCCCAGAATTAGGTTCTATAGACTCCCCGTGACCTGAAACGTGCTCCTAACACAATTCTGGAAGGTCAAAAATTGGGTTGGCCCTTGGTTCATTGCACTCAGAAAAATCCTAGCTCCAAGCCCAACCCTAACCCTAGCTCCAACACTAACCCTAACTCCAACCCTAACCCTAACCCTAACCCTAGCTCCAACCCTAACCCTAACCCTAACCCATGCATTCCTATGGGAAAAAAACAAATTTTTTAGGAACGTCCTAGAGACTCGGGAGTTGGTTCATTGCACTCAGAAAAATCCTAGCTCCAAGCCCAACCCTAACCCTAGCTCCAACACTAACCCTAACTCCAACCCTAACCCTAACCCTAACCCTAGCTCCAACCCTAACCCTAACCCTAACCCATGCATTCCTATGGGAAAAAAATCAAATTTTTTTAGGAACGTCCTAGAGACTCGGGAGTTGGTTCATTGCACTCAGAAAAATCCTAGCTCCAAGCCCAACCCTAACCCTAGCTCCAACACTAACCCTAACTCCAACCCTAACCCTAACCCTAACCCTAGCTCCAACCCTAACCCTAACCCTAACCCATGCATTCCTATGGGAAAAAAATCAAATTTTTTTAGGAACGTCCTAGAGACTCGGGAGTTGGTTCATTGCACTCAGAAAAATCCTAGCTCCAAGCCCAACCCTAACCCTAGCTCCAACACTAACCCTAACTCCAACCCTAACCCTAACCCTAACCCTGGCTCCAACCCTAACCCTAACCCTAACCCTAGCTCCAACCTTAACCCTAACCCTAACCCTAGCCCCAACCCTAACCCTAGCTCTAACCCTTACCCTAACCCTAGCTCCACCCTAATCCTAACCCTAACCCTAACCCTAGCTCCAACCTTAACCCTAACCCTAACCCTAGCTCCAACCCAAACCCTAACCCAAACCCTAAAGTAAACTTTTCAATAACTTCCCCAGAATTAGGTTCTATAGACTCCCGTGCCCTGAAACGTGCTCTAACACAATTCTAGGAAGGTCCTAGAACTCGGAGTTGGTTCATTGCACTCAGAAAAATCCTAGCTCCAAGCCCAACCCTAACCCTAGCTCCAACACTAACCCTAACTCCAACCCTAACCCTAACCCTAACCCTAGCTCCAACCCTAACCCTAACCCTAACCCTAACCCTAACCCATGCATTCCTATGGGAAAAAATCAAATTTTTTTAGGAACGCCCTAGAGACTCGGGAGTTGGTTCATTGCACTCAGAAAAATCCTAGCTCCAAGCCCAACCCTAACCCTAGCTCCAACACTAACCCTAACTCCAACCCTAACCCTAACCCTAACCCTAGCTCCAACCCTAACCCTAACCCTAACCCATGCATTCCTATGGGAAAAAATCAATTTTTTTAGGAACGTCCTAGAGACTCGGGAGTTGGTTCATTGCACTCAGAAAAATCCTAGCTCCAAGCCCAACCCTAACCCTAGCTCCAACACTAACCCTAACTCCAACCCTAACCCTAACCCTAACCCTAGCTCCAACCCTAACCCTAACCCTAACCCATGCATTCCTATGGGGAAAAAAACAAATTTTTTTAGGAACGTCCTAGAGACTCGGGAGTTGGTTCATTGCACTCAGAAAAATCCTAGCTCCAAGCCCAACCCTAACCCTAGCTCCAACACTAACCCTAACTCCAACCCTAACCCTAACCCTGGCCCAACCCTAACCCTAACCCTAACCCTAGCTCCAACCCTAACCCTAACCCTAACCCTATGCATTCCTATGGGAAAAAACTTCCCCCAAATTTTCTATAACTCCTAGCTGACCTGAAACGTGCTCCTAACACAATTCTGGAAGGTCAAAAATTGGGTTGGAGTTGGTTCATTGCACTCAGAAAAATCCAGCTCCAAGCCCAACCCTAACCCTAGCTCCAACACTAACCCTAACTCCAACCCTAACCCTAACCCTAACCCTAACCCTAGCTCCAACCCTAACCCTAACCCTAACCCATGCATTCCTATGGGAAAAAAATCAATTTTTTTTAGGAACGTCCTAGAGACTCGGGAGTTGGTTCATTGCACTCAGAAAAATCCTAGCTCCAAGCCCAACCCTAACCCTAGCTCCAACACTAACCCTAACTCCAACCCTAACCCTAACCCTAACCCTAGCTCCAACCCTAACCCTAACCCTAACCCATGCATTCCTATGGGAAAAAATCAATTTTTTTAGGAACGTCCTAGAGACTCGGGAGTTGGTTCATTGCACTCAGAAAAATCCTAGCTCCAAGCCCAACCCTAACCCTAGCTCCAACACTAACCCTAACTCCAACCCTAACCCTAACCCTAACCCTAGCTCCAACCCTAACCCTAACCCTAACCCATGCATTCCTATGGGAAAAAATCAAATTTTTTTAGGAACGTCCTAGAGACTCGGGAGTTGGTTCATTGCACTCAGAAAAATCCTAGCTCCAAGCCCAACCCTAACCCTAGCTCCAACACTAACCCTAACTCCAACCCTAACCCTAACCCTAACCCTAGCTCCAACCCTAACCCTAACCCTAACCCATGCATTCCTATGGGAAAAAAATCAAATTTTTTTAGGAACGTCCTAGAGACTCGGGAGTTGGTTCATTGCACTCAGAAAAATCCTAGCTCCAAGCCCAACCCTAACCCTAGCTCCAACACTAACCCTAACTCCAACCCTAACCCTAACCCTAACCCTAGCTCCAACCCTAACCCTAACCCTAACCCATGCATTCCTATGGGAAAAAAATCAAATTTTTTAGGAACGTCCTAGAGACTCGGGAGTTGGTTCATTGCACTCAGAAAAATCCTAGCTCCAAGCCCAACCCTAACCCTAGCTCCAACACTAACCCTAACTCCAACCCTAACCCTAACCCTAACCCTGGCTCCAACCCTAACCCTAACCCTAACCCATGCTATGGGAAAATCAATTTTTAACCCTAACCCTAGCCCCAACCCTAACCCTGGCTCTAACCCTAACCCTAACCCTAGCTCCAACCCTAACCCTAAGCCCTAACCCTAACCCTAACTCCAACCCTAACCCTAACCCTAACCCTAGCTCCAACCCTAACCCTAACCCAAACCCTAAGTAAACTTTGAAAACTTCCCCAGAATTAGGTTCTATAGACTCCCGTGCCCTGAAACGTGCTCCTAACACAATTCTCAAAATTGGGTTGGCAGTTGGTTCATTGCACTCAGAAAAATCCTAGCTCCAAGCCCAACCCTAACCCTAGCTCCAACACTAACCCTAACTCCAACCCTAACCCTAACCCTAACCCTAGCTCCAACCCTAACCCTAACCCTAACCCTAACCCTAACCCATGCATTCCTATGGGAAAAAATCAAATTTTTTTAGGAACGTCCTAGAGACTCGGGAGTTGGTTCATTGCACTCAGAAAAATCCTAGCTCCAAGCCCAACCCTAACCCTAGCTCCAACACTAACCCTAACTCCAACCCTAACCCTAACCCTAACCCTAGCTCCAACCCTAACCCTAACCCTAACCCTAACCCATGCATTCCTATGGGAAAAAAATCAAATTTTTTTAGGAACGTCCTAGAGACTCGGGAGTTGGTTCATTGCACTCAGAAAAATCCTAGCTCCAAGCCCAACCCTAACCCTAGCTCCAACACTAACCCTAACTCCAACCCTAACCCTAACCCTAACCCTAGCTCCAACCCTAACCCTAACCCTAACCCATGCATTCCTATGGGAAAAAAATCAAATTTTTTTAGGAACGTCCTAGAGACTCGGGAGTTGGTTCATTGCACTCAGAAAAATCCTAGCTCCAAGCCCAACCCTAACCCTAGCTCCAACACTAACCCTAACTCCAACCCTAACCCTAACCCTAACCCTGCTCCAACCCTAACCCTAACCCTAACCCACCCTAGCTCCAACCTTAACCCTAACCCTAGCCCCAACCCTAACCCTAGCTCTAACCCTAACCCTAACCCTAGCTCCACCCTAATCCTAACCCTAACCCTAACCCTAGCTCCAACCCTAACCCTAACCCTAACCCTAGCTCCAACCCTAACCCTAACCCTAACCCATGCATTCCCTATGAATTAGGTTCTATAGACTCCCCGTGCCCTGAAACGTGCTCCTAACACAATTCTGGAAGGTCAAAAATTGGGTTGGCACTTGGTTCATTGCACTCAGAAAAATCCTAGCTCCAAGCCCAACCCTAACTCTAGCTCCAACACTAACCCTAACTCCAACCCTAACCCTAACCCTAACCCTAGCTCCAACCCTAACCCTAACCCTAACCCTAACCCTAACCCATGCATTCCTATGGGAAAAAATCAAATTTTTTTAGGAACGCCCTAGAGACTCGGGAGTTGGTTCATTGCACTCAGAAAAATCCTAGCTCCAAGCCCAACCCTAACCCTAGCTCCAACACTAACCCTAACTCCAACCCTAACCCTAACCCTAACCCTAGCTCCAACCCTAACCCTAACCCATGCATTCCTATGGGAAAAAATCTATTTTTTTTTAGGAACGTCCAAGAGACTCGGGAGTTGGTTCATTGCACTCAGAAAAATCCTAGCTCCAAGCCCAACCCTAACCCTAGCTCCAACACTAACCCTAACTCCAACCCTAACCCTAACCCTAACCCTAGCTCCAACCCTAACCCTAACCCTAACCCATGCATTCCTATGGGAAAAAAACAAATTTTTTTAGGAACGTCCTAGAGACTCGGGAGTTGGTTCATTACACTCAGAAAAATCCTAGCTCCAAGCCCAACCCTAACCCTAGCTCCAACACTAACCCTAACTCCAACCCTAACCCTAACCCTAACCCTAGCTCCAACCCTAACCCTAACCCTAACCCATGCATTCCTATGGGAAAAAATCAATTTTTTTTAAGAACGTCCTAGAGACTCGGGAGTTGGTTCATTGCACTCAGAAAAATCCTAGCTCCAAGCCCAACCCTAACCCTAGCTCCAACACTAACCCTAACTCCAACCCTAACCCTAACTCCAACCCTAACCCTAACCCTAACCCTAACCCATGCATTCCTATGGGAAAAAATCAAATCTTTTTAGGAACGCCCTAGAGACTCGGGAGTTGGTTCATTGCACTCAGAAAAATCCTAGCTCCAAGCCCAACCCTAACCCTAGCTCCAACACTAACCCTAACTCCAACCCTAACCCTAACCCTAACCCTAGCTCCAACCCTAACCCTAACCCTAACCCATGCATTCCTATGGGAAAAAATCTATTTTTTTTAGGAACGTCCTAGAGACTCGGGAGTTGGTTCATTGCACTCAGAAAAATCCTAGCTCCAAGCCCAACCCTAACCCTAGCTGCAACACTAACCCTAACTCCAACCCTAACCCTAACCCTAACCCTAGCTCCAACCCTAACCCTAACCCTAACCCATGCATTCCTATGGGAAAAAATCAAATTTTTGTAGGAACATCCTAGAGACTCGGGAGTTGGTTCATTGCACTCAGAAAAATCCTAGCTCCAAGCCCAACCCTAACCCTAGCTCCAACACTAACCCTAACTCCAACCCTAACCCTAACCCTAACCCTAGCTCCAACCCTAACCCTAACCCTAACCCATGCATTCCTATGGGAAAAAATCAAATTTTTTTAGGAACGTCCTAGAGACTCGGGAGTTGGTTCATTGCACTCAGAAAAATCCTAGCTCCAAGCCCAACCCTAACCCTAGCTCCAACACTAACCCTAACTCCAACCCTAACCCTAACCCTAACCCTAGCTCCAACCCTAACCCTAACCCTAACCCATGCATTCCTATGGGAAAAAATCAAATTTTTTTAGGAACGTCCTAGAGACTCGGGAGTTGGTTCATTGCACTCAGAAAAATCCTAGCTCCAAGCCCAACCCTAACCCTAGCTCCAACACTAACCCTAACTCCAACCCTAACCCTAACCCTAACCCTAGCTCCAACCCTAACCCTAACCCTAACCCATGCATTCCTATGGGAAAAAATCAAATTTTTTTAGGAACGTCCTAGAGACTCGGGAGTTGGTTCATTGCACTCAGAAAAATCCTAGCTCCAAGCCCAACCCTAACCCTAGCTCCAACACTAACCCTAACTCCAACCCTAACCCTAACCCTAACCCTAGCTCCAACCCTAACCCTAACCCTAACCCATGCATTCCTATGGGAAAAAAATCAAATTTTTTTAGGAACGTCCTAGAGACTCGGGAGTTGGTTCATTGCACTCAGAAAAATCCTAGCTCCAAGCCCAACCCTAACCCTAGCTCCAACACTAACCCTAACTCCAACCCTAACCCTAACCCTAACCCTAGCTCCAACCCTAACCCTAACCCTAACCCATGCATTCCTATGGGAAAAAATCAAATTTTTTTAGGAACGTCCTAGAGACTCGGGAGTTGGTTCATTGCACTCAGAAAAATCCTAGCTCCAAGCCCAACCCTAACCCTAGCTCCAACACTAACCCTAACTCCAACCCTAACCCTAACCCTAACCCTAGCTCCAACCCTAACCCTAAACCTAACCCATGCATTCCTATGGGAAAAAATCAATTTTTTTTAGGAACGTCCTAGAGACTCGGGAGTTGGTTCATTACACTCAGAAAAATCCTAGCTCCAAGCCCAACCCTAACCCTAGCTCCAACACTAACCCTAACTCCAACCCTAACCCTAACCCTAACCCTAGCTCCAACCCTAACCCTAACCCTAACCCATGCATTCCTATGGGAAAAAATCAAATTTTTTTAGGAACGTCCTAGAGACTCGGGAGTTGGTTCATTGCACTCAGAAAAATCCCTAGCTCCAAGCCCAACCCTAACCCTAGCTCCAACACTAACCCTAACTCCAACCCTAACCCTAACCCTAACCCTAGCTCCAACCCTAACCCTAACCCTAACCCATGCATTCCTATGGGAAAAAAATCAAATTTTTTTAGGAACGTCCTAGAGACTCGGGAGTTGGTTCATTGCACTCAGAAAAATCCTAGCTCCAAGCCCAACCCTAACCCTAGCTCCAACACTAACCCTAACTCCAACCCTAACCCTAACCCTAACCCTAGCTCCAACCCTAACCCTAACCCTAACCCATGCATTCCTATGGGAAACCTAATCAAATTTTTTAGGAACGTCCTAGAACCCGGAGTTGGTTCTGCACTCAAAAAATCCTAGCTCCAAGCCCAACCCTAACCCTAGCTCCAACACTAACCCTAACTCCAACCCTAACCCTAACCCTAACCCTAGCTCCAACCCTAACCCTAACCCTAACCCATGCATTCCTATGGGAAAAAAATCAAATTTTTTAGGAACGTCTCCTAGAGACCATTCGGGAGTTGGTTCATTGCACTCAGAAAAATCCTAGCTCCAAGCCCAACCCTAACCCTAGCTCCAACACTAACCCTAACTCCAACCCTAACCCTAACCCTAACCCTAGCTCCAACCCTAACCCTAACCCTAACCCATGCATTCCTATGGGAAAAAATCAATTTTTTTTAGGAACGTCCTAGAGACTCGGGAGTTGGTTCATTGCACTCAGAAAAATCCTAGCTCCAAGCCCAACCCTAACCCTAGCTCCAACACTAACCCTAACTCCAACCCTAACCCTAACCCTAACCCTAGCTCCAACCCTAACCCTAACCCATGCATTCCTATGGGAAAAAAAACAAATTTTTTTAGGAACGTCCTAGAGACTCGGGAGTTGGTTCATTGCACTCAGAAAAATCCTAGCTCCAAGCCCAACCCTAACCCTAGCTCCAACACTAACCCTAACTCCAACCCTAACCCTAACCCTAACCCTAGCTCCAACCCTAACTCCAACCCTAACCCTAACCCTAACCCATGCATTCCTATGGGAAAAAATCAAATTTTTTTAGGAACGTCCTAGAGACTCGGGAGTTGGTTCATTGCACTCAGAAAAATCCTAGCTCCAAGCCCAACCCTAACCCTAGCTCCAACACTAACCCTAACTCCAACCCTAACCCTAACCCTAACCCTAGCTCCAACCCTAACCCTAACCCTAACCCATGCATTCCTATGGGAAAAAATCAAATTTTTTTAGGAACGTCCTAGAGACTCGGGAGTTGGTTCATTGCACTCAGAAAAATCCTAGCTCCAAGCCCAACCCTAACCCTAGCTCCAACACTAACCCTAACTCCAACCCTAACCCTAACCCTAACCCTAGCTCCAACCCTAACCCTAACCCTAACCCATGCATTCCTATGGGAAAAAATCAAATTTTTTTAGGAACGTCCTAGAGACTCGGGAGTTGGTTCATTGCACTCAGAAAAATCCTAGCTCCAAGCCCAACCCTAACCCTAGCTCCAACACTAACCCTAACTCCAACCCTAACCCTAACCCTAACCCTAGCTCCAACCCTAACCCTAACCCTAACCCATGCATTCCTATGGGAAAAAATCAATTTTTTAGGAACGTCCTAGAGACTCGGGAGTTGGTTCATTGCACTCAGAAAAATCCTAGCTCCAAGCCCAACCCTAACCCTAGCTCCAACACTAACCCTAACTCCAACCCTAACCCTAACCCTAACCCTAGCTCCAACCCTAACCCTAACCCTAACCCATGCATTCCTATGGGAAAAAATCAAATTTTTTTAGGAACGTCCTAGAGACTCGGGAGTTGGTTCATTGCACTCAGAAAAATCCTAGCTCCAAGCCCAACCCTAACCCTAGCTCCAACACTAACCCTAACTCCAACCCTAACCCTAACCCTAACCCTAGCTCCAACCCTAACCCTAACCCTAACCCATGCATTCCTATGGGAAAAAATCAAATTTTTTTAGGAACGTCCTAGAGACTCGGGAGTTGGTTCATTGCACTCAGAAAAATCCTAGCTCCAAGCCCAACCCTAACCCTAGCTCCAACACTAACCCTAACTCCAACCCTAACCCTAACCCTAACCCTAGCTCCAACCCTAACCCTAACCCTAACCCATGCATTCCTATGGGAAAAAATCAAATTTTTTTAGGAACGTCCTAGAGACTCGGGAGTTGGTTCATTGCACTCAGAAAAATCCTAGCTCCAAGCCCAACCCTAACCCTAGCTCCAACACTAACCCTAACTCCAACCCTAACCCTAACCCTAACCCTAGCTCCAACCCTAACCCTAACCCTAACCCATGCATTCCTATGGGAAAAAATCAAATTTTTTTAGGAACGTCCTAGAGACTCGGGAGTTGGTTCATTGCACTCAGAAAAATCCTAGCTCCAAGCCCAACCCTAACCCTAGCTCCAACACTAACCCTAACTCCAACCCTAACCCTAACCCTAACCCTAGCTCCAACCCTAACCCTAACCCTAACCCTAACCCATGCATTCCTATGGGAAAAAAATCAAATTTTTTTAGGAACGTCCTAGAGACTCGGGAGTTGGTTCATTGCACTCAGAAAAATCCTAGCTCCAAGCCCAACCCTAACCCTAGCTCCAACACTAACCCTAACTCCAACCCTAACCCTAACCCTAACCCTAGCTCCAACCCTAACCCTAAACCTAACCCATGCATTCCTATGGGAAAAAATCAATTTTTTTTAGGAACGTCCTAGAGATTCGGGAGTTGGTTCATTGCACTCAGAAAAATCCTAGCTCCAAGCCCAACCCTAACCCTAGCTCCAACACTAACCCTAACTCCAACCCTAACCCTAACCCTAACCCTAGCGCCAACCCTAACCCTAAACCTAACCCATGCATTCCTATGGGAAAAAATCAATTTTTTTAGGAACGTCCTAGAGACTCGGGAGTTGGTTCATTGCACTCAGAAAAATCCTAGCTCCAAGCCCATCCCTTAACCCTAGCTCCAACATTAACCCTAACTCCAACCCTAACCCTAACCCTAACCCTAGCTCCAACCCTAACCCTAAACCTAACCCATGCATTCCTATGGGAAAAAATCAAATTTTTTTAGGAACGTCCTAGAGACTCGGGAGTTGGTTCATTGCACTCAGAAAAATCCTAGCTCCAAGCCCAACCCTAACCCTAGCTCCAACACTAACCCTAACTCCAACCCCTAACCCTAACCCTAACCCTAGCTCCAACCCTAACCCTAACCCTAACCCTAACCCATGCATTCCTATGGGAAAAAAATCTATTTTTTTTAGGAACGTCCTAGAGACTCGGGAGTTGGTTCATTGCACTCAGAAAAATCCTAGCTCCAAGCCCAACCCTAACCCTAGCTCCAACACTAACCCTAACTCCAACCCTAACCCTAACCCTAACCCTAGCTCCAACCCTAACCCTAACCCTAACCCATGCATTCCTATGGGAAAAAATCAAATTTTTTTAGGAACGTCCTAGAGACTCGGGAGTTGGTTCATTGCACTCAGAAAAATCCAGCTCCAAGCCCAACCCTAACCCTAGCTCCAACACTAACCCTAACTCCAACCCTAACCCTAACCCTAACCCTAGCTCCAACCCTAACCCTAACCCTAACCCTAACCCATGCATTCCTATGGGAAAAAAATCAAATTTTTTTAGGAACGTCCTAGAGACTCGGGAGTTGGTTCATTGCACTCAGAAAAATCCTAGCTCCAAGCCCAACCCTAACCCTAGCTCCAACACTAACCCTAACTCCAACCCTAACCCTAACCCTAACCCTAGCTCCAACCCTAACCCTAACCCTAACCCATGCATTCCTATGGGAAAAAAATCAAATTTTTTTAGGAACGTCCTAGAGACTCGGGAGTTGGTTCATTGCACTCAGAAAAATCCTAGCTCCAAGCCCAACCCTAACCCTAGCTCCAACACTAACCCTAACTCCAACCCTAACCCTAACCCTAACCCTAGCTCCAACCCTAACCCTAACCCTAACCCATGCATTCCTATGGGAAAAAAAATCAAATTTTTTTAGGAACGTCCTAGAGACTCGGGAGTTGGTTCATTGCACTCAGAAAAATCCTAGCTCCAAGCCCAACCCTAACCCTAGCTCCAACACTAACCCTAACTCCAACCCTAACCCTAACCCTAACCCTAGCTCCAACCCTAACCCTAACCCTAACCCATGCATTCCTATGGGAAAAAATCAAATTTTTTTAGGAACGTCCTAGAGACTCGGGAGTTGGTTCATTGCACTCAGAAAAATCCTAGCTCCAAGCCCAACCCTAACCCTAGCTCCAACACTAACCCTAACTCCAACCCTAACCCTAACCCTAACCCTAGCTCCAACCCTAACCCTAACCCTAACCCATGCATTCCTATGGGAAAAAATCAAATTTTTGTAGGAACATCCTAGAGACTCGGGAGTTGGTTCATTGCACTCAGAAAAATCCTAGCTCCAAGCCCAACCCTAACCCTAGCTCCAACACTAACCCTAACTCCAACCCTAACCCTAACCCTAACCCTAGCTCCAACCCTAACCCTAACCCTAACCCATGCATTCCTATGGGAAAAAATCATTTTTTTTTAGGAACGTCCTAGAGACTCGGGAGTTGGTTCATTGCACTCAGAAAAATCCTAGCTCCAAGCCCAACCCTAACCCTAGCTCCAACACTAACCCTAACTCCAACCCTAACCCTAACCCTAACCCTAACCCTAGCTCCAACCCTAACCCTAACCCTAACCCATGCATTCCTATGGGGAAAAAATCAATTTTTTTTAGGAACGTCCTAGAGACTCGGGAGTTGGTTCATTACACTCAGAAAAATCCTAGCTCCAAGCCCAACCCTAACCCTAGCTCCAACACTAACCCTAACTCCAACTCCAACCCTAACCCTAACCCTAACCCTAGCTCCAACCCTAACCCTAAACCTAACCCATGCATTCCTATGGGAAAAAATCAAATTTTTTTAGTAACGTCCTAGAGACTCGGGAGTTGGTTCATTGCACTCAGAAAAATCCTAGCTCCAAGCCCAACCCTAACCCTAGCTCCAACACTAACCCTAACTCCAACCCTAACCCTAACCCTAGCTCCAACCCTAACCCTAACCCTAACCCTAACCCATGCATTCCTATGGGAAAAAAATCAAATTTTTTTAGGAACGTCCTAGAGACTCGGGAGTTGGTTCATTGCACTCAGAAAAATCCTAGCTCCAAGCCCAACCCTAACCCTAGCTCCAACACTAACCCTAACTCCAACCCTAACCCTAACCCTAACCCTAGCTCCAACCCTAACCCTAACCCTAACCCATGCATTCCTATGGGAAAAAATCAAATTTTTTTAGGAACGTCCTAGAGACTCGGGAGTTGGTTCATTGCACTCAGAAAAATCCTAGCTCCAAGCCCAACCCTAACCCTAGCTCCAACACTAACCCTAACTCCAACCCTAACCCTAACCCTAACCCTAGCTCCAACCCTAACCCTAACCCTAACCCATGCATTCCTATGGGAAAAAATCAAATTTTTTTAGGAACGTCCTAGAGACTCGGGAGTTGGTTCATTGCACTCAGAAAAATCCTAGCTCCAAGCCCAACCCTAACCCTAGCTCCAACACTAACCCTAACTCCAACCCTAACCCTAACCCTAACCCTAGCTCCAACCCTAACCCTAACCCTAACCCATGCATTCCTATGGGAAAAAAAATCAAATTTTTTTAGGAACGTCCTAGAGACTCGGGAGTTGGTTCATTGCACTCAGAAAAATCCTAGCTCCAAGCCCAACCCTAACCCTAGCTCCAACACTAACCCTAACTCCAACCCTAACCCTAACCCTAACCCTAGCTCCAACCCTAACCCTAACCCTAACCCTAACCCATGCATTCCTATGGGAAAAAAATCTATTTTTTTTAGGAACGTCCTAGAGACTCGGGAGTTGGTTCATTGCACTCAGAAAAATCCTAGCTCCAAGCCCAACCCTAACCCTAGCTCCAACACTAACCCTAACTCCAACCCTAACCCTAACCCTAACCCTAGCTCCAACCCTAACCCTAACCCTAACCCATGCATTCCTATGGGAAAAAATCAAATTTTTTTAGGAACGTCCTAGAGACTCGGGAGTTGGTTCATTGCACTCAGAAAAATCCTAGCTCCAAGCCCAACCCTAACCCTAGCTCCAACACTAACCCTAACTCCAACCCTAACCCTAACCCTAACCCTAGCTCCAACCCTAACCCTAACCCTAACCCTAACCCATGCATTCCTATGGGAAAAAATCAATTTTTTTTAGGAACGTCCTAGAGACTCGGGAGTTGGTTCATTGCACTCAGAAAAATCCTAGCTCCAAGCCCAACCCTAACCCTAGCTCCAACACTAACCCTAACTCCAACCCTAACCCTAACCCTAACCCTAGCTCCAACCCTAACCCTAACCCTAACCCTAACCCATGCATTCCTATGGGAAAAAAATCAAATTTTTTTAGGAACGTCCTAGAGACTCGGGAGTTGGTTCATTGCACTCAGAAAAATCCTAGCTCCAAGCCCAACCCTAACCCTAGCTCCAACACTAACCCTAACTCCAACCCTAACCCTAACCCTAACCCTAGCTCCAACCCTAACCCTAACCCTAACCCATGCATTCCTATGGGAAAAAAAATCAATTTTTTTTAGGAACGTCCTAGAGACTCGGGAGTTGGTTCATTGCACTCAGAAAAATCCTAGCTCCAAGCCCAACCCTAACCCTAGCTCCAACACTAACCCTAACTCCAACCCTAACCCTAACCCTAACCCTAGCTCCAACCCTAACCCTAACCCTAACCCATGCATTCCTATGGGAAAAAAATCAAATTTTTTTAGGAACGTCCTAGAGACTCGGGAGTTGGTTCATTGCACTCAGAAAAATCCTAGCTCCAAGCCCAACCCTAACCCTAGCTCCAACACTAACCCTAACTCCAACCCTAACCCTAACCCTAACCCTAGCTCCAACCCTAACCCTAACCCTAACCCATGCATTCCTATGGGGAAAAAATCAAATTTTTTTAGGAACGTCCTAGAGACTCGGGAGTTGGTTCATTGCACTCAGAAAAATCCTAGCTCCAAGCCCAACCCTAACCCTAGCTCCAACACTAACCCTAACTCCAACTCCAACCCTAACCCTAACCCTAGCTCCAACCCTAACCCTAACCCTAACCCTAACCCATGCATTCCTATGGGAAAAAAATCAAATTTTTTTTAGGAACGTCCTAGAGACTCGGGAGTTGGTTCATTGCACTCAGAAAAATCCTAGCTCCAAGCCCAACCCTAACCCTAGCTCCAACACTAACCCTAACTCCAACCCTAACCCTAACCCTAACCCTAGCTCCAACCCTAACCCTAACCCTAACCCATGCATTCCTATGGGAAAAAAATCAAATTTTTTTAGGAACGTCCTAGAGACTCGGGAGTTGGTTCATTGCACTCAGAAAAATCCTAGCTCCAAGCCCAACCCTAACCCTAGCTCCAACACTAACCCTAACTCCAACCCTAACCCTAACCCTAACCCTAGCTCCAACCCTAACCCTAACCCTAACCCATGCATTCCTATGGGAAAAAATCAAATTTTTTTAGGAACGTCCTAGAGACTCGGGAGTTGGTTCATTGCACTCAGAAAAATCCTAGCTCCAAGCCCAACCCTAACCCTAGCTCCAACACTAACCCTAACTCCAACCCTAACCCTAACCCTAACCCTAGCTCCAACCCTAACCCAACCCTAACCCATGCATTCCTATGGGAAAAAAATCAAATTTTTTTAGGAACGTCCTAGAGAGACTCGGGAGTTGGTTCATTACACTCAGAAAAATCCTAGCTCCAAGCCCAACCCTAACCCTAGCTCCAACACTAACCCTAACTCCAACTCCAACCCTAACCCTAACCCTAACCCTAGCTCCAACCCTAACCCTAACCCTAACCCATGCATTCCTATGGGAAAAAAATCAAATTTTTTTAGGAACGTCCTAGAGACTCGGGAGTTGGTTCATTGCACTCAGAAAAATCCTAGCTCCAAGCCCAACCCTAACCCTAGCTCCAACACTAACCCTAACTCCAACCCTAACCCTAACCCTAACCCTAGCTCCAACCCTAACCCTAACCCTAACCCATGCATTCCTATGGGAAAAAATCATTTTTTTTAGGAACGTCCTAGAGACTCGGGAGTTGGTTCATTGCACTCAGAAAAATCCTAGCTCCAAGCCCAACCCTAACCCTAGCTCCAACACTAACCCTAACTCCAACCCTAACCCTAACCCTAACCCTAGCTCCAACCCTAACCCTAACCCTAACCCATGCATTCCTATGGGGAAAAAAATCAAATTTTTTTAGGAACGTCCTAGAGACTCGGGAGTTGGTTCATTGCACTCAGAAAAATCCTAGCTCCAAGCCCAACCCTAACCCTAGCTCCAACACTAACCCTAACTCCAACCCTAACCCTAACCCTAACCCTAGCTCCAACCCTAACCCTAACCTAACCCATGCATTCCTATGGGAAAAAATCAAATTTTTTAGGAACGTCCTAGAGACTCGGGAGTTGGTTCATTGCACTCAGAAAAATCCTAGCTCCAAGCCCAACCCTAACCCTAGCTCCAACACTAACCCTAACTCCAACCCTAACCCTAACCCTAACCCTAGCTCCAACCCTAACCCTAACCCTAACCCATGCATTCCTATGGGAAAAAAATCAATTTTTTTTAGGAACGTCCTAGAGACTCGGGAGTTGGTTCATTGCACTCAGAAAAATCCTAGCTCCAAGCCCAACCCTAACCCTAGCTCCAACACTAACCCTAACTCCAACCCTAACCCTAACCCTAACCCTAGCTCCAACCCTAACCCTAACCCTAACCCATGCATTCCTATGGGAAAAAATCAAATTTTTTTAGGAACGTCCTAGAGACTCGGGAGTTGGTTCATTGCACTCAGAAAAATCCTAGCTCCAAGCCCAACCCTAACCCTAGCTCCAACACTAACCCTAACTCCAACCCTAACCCTAACCCTAACCCTAGCTCCAACCCTAACCCTAACCCCTAACCCATGCATTCCTATGGGAAAAAAATCAAATTTTTTTAGGAACGTCCTAGAGACTCGGGAGTTGGTTCATTGCACTCAGAAAAATCCTAGCTCCAAGCCCAACCCTAACCCTAGCTCCAACACTAACCCTAACTCCAACCCTAACCCTAACCCTAACCCTAGCTCCAACCCTAACCCTAACCCTAACCCATGCATTCCTATGGGAAAAAAATCAAATTTTTTTAGGAACGTCCTAGAGACTCGGGAGTTGGTTCATTGCACTCAGAAAAATCCTAGCTCCAAGCCCAACCCTAACCCTAGCTCCAACACTAACCCTAACTCCAACCCTAACCCTAACCCTAACCCTAGCTCCAACCCTAACCCTAACCCTAACCCTAACCCATGCATTCCTATGGGAAAAAAATCAAATTTTTTTAGGAACGTCCTAGAGACTCGGGAGTTGGTTCATTGCACTCAGAAAAATCCTAGCTCCAAGCCCAACCCTAACCCTAGCTCCAACACTAACCCTAACTCCAACCCTAACCCTAACCCTAACCCTAGCTCCAACCCTAACCCTAACCCTAACCCATGCATTCCTATGGGAAAAAATCAAATTTTTTTAGGAACGTCCTAGAGACTCGGGAGTTGGTTCATTGCACTCAGAAAAATCCTAGCTCCAAGCCCAACCCTAACCCTAGCTCCAACACTAACCCTAACTCCAACCCTAACCCTAACCCTAACCCTAGCTCCAACCCTAACCCTAACCCTAACCCTAACCCATGCATTCCTATGGGAAAAAATCAATTTTTTTAGGAACGTCCTAGAGACTCGGGAGTTGGTTCATTGCACTCAGAAAAATCCTAGCTCCAAGCCCAACCCTAACCCTAGCTCCAACACTAACCCTAACTCCAACCCTAACCCTAACCCTAACCCTAGCTCCAACCCTAACCCTAACCCTAACCCTAACCCATGCATTCCTATGGGAAAAAAATCAAATTTTTTTAGGAACGTCCTAGAGACTCGGGAGTTGGTTCATTGCACTCAGAAAAATCCTAGCTCCAAGCCCAACCCTAACCCTAGCTCCAACACTAACCCTAACTCCAACCCTAACCCTAACCCTAACCCTAGCTCCAACCCTAACCCTAACCCTAACCCATGCATTCCTATGGGAAAAAATCATTTTTTTTAGGAACGTCCTAGAGACTCGGGAGTTGGTTCATTGCACTCAGAAAAATCCTAGCTCCAAGCCCAACCCTAACCCTAGCTCCAACACTAACCCTAACTCCAACCCTAACCCTAACCCTAACCCTAGCTCCAACCCTAACCCTAACCCTAACCCATGCATTCCTATGGGAAAAAATCAAATTTTTTTAGGAACGTCCTAGAGACTCGGGAGTTGGTTCATTGCACTCAGAAAAATCCTAGCTCCAAGCCCAACCCTAACCCTAGCTCCAACACTAACCCTAACTCCAACCCTAACCCTAACCCTAACCCTAGCTCCAACCCTAACCCTAACCCTAACCCATGCATTCCTATGGGAAAAAATCAAATTTTTTAGGAACGTCCTAGAGACTCGGGAGTTGGTTCATTGCACTCAGAAAAATCCTAGCTCCAAGCCCAACCCTAACCCTAGCTCCAACACTAACCCTAACTCCAACCCTAACCCTAACCCTAACCCTAGCTCCAACCCTAACCCTAACCCTAACCCTAACCCATGCATTCCTATGGGAAAAAATCAATTTTTATAGGAACGTCCTAGAGACTCGGGAGTTGGTTCATTGCACTCAGAAAAATCCTAGCTCCAAGCCCAACCCTAACCCTAGCTCCAACACTAACCCTAACTCCAACCCTAACCCTAACCCTAACCCTAGCTCCAACCCTAACCCTAACCCTAACCCATGCATTCCTATGGGAAAAAAATCAATTTTTTTAGGAACGTCCTAGAGACTCGGGAGTTGGTTCATTGCACTCAGAAAAATCCTAGCTCCAAGCCCAACCCTAACCCTAGCTCCAACACTAACCCTAACTCCAACCCTAACCCTAACCCTAACCCTAGCTCCAACCCTAACCCTAACCCTAACCCATGCATTCCTATGGGAAAAAAATCAAATTTTTTTAGGAACGTCCTAGAGACTCGGGAGTTGGTTCATTGCACTCAGAAAAATCCTAGCTCCAAGCCCAACCCTAACCCTAGCTCCAACACTAACCCTAACTCCAACCCTAACCCTAACCCTAACCCTAGCTCCAACCCTAACCCTAACCCTAACCCATGCATTCCTATGGGAAAAAAATCAAATTTTTTTAGGAACGTCCTAGAGACTCGGGAGTTGGTTCATTGCACTCAGAAAAATCCTAGCTCCAAGCCCAACCCTAACCCTAGCTCCAACACTAACCCTAACTCCAACCCTAACCCTAACCCTAACCCTAGCTCCAACCCTAACCCTAACCCTAACCCATGCATTCCTATGGGAAAAAAATCAAATTTTTTTAGGAACGTCCTAGAGACTCGGGAGTTGGTTCATTGCACTCAGAAAAATCCTAGCTCCAAGCCCAACCCTAACCCTAGCTCCAACACTAACCCTAACTCCAACCCTAACCCTAACCCTAGCTCCAACCCTAACCCTAACCCTAACCCATGCATTCCTATGGGAAAAAAAATCAAATTTTTTTAGGAACGTCCTAGAGACTCGGGAGTTGGTTCATTGCACTCAGAAAAATCCTAGCTCCAAGCCCAACCCTAACCCTAGCTCCAACACTAACCCTAACTCCAACCCTAACCCTAACCCTAACCCTAGCTCCAACCCTAACCCTAACCCTAACCCATGCATTCCTATGGGAAAAAATCAAATTTTTTTAGGAACGTCCTAGAGACTCGGGAGTTGGTTCATTGCACTCAGAAAAATCCTAGCTCCAAGCCCAACCCTAACCCTAGCTCCAACACTAACCCTAACTCCAACCCTAACCCTAACCCTAACCCTAGCTCCAACCCTAACCCTAACCCTAACCCATGCATTCCTATGGGAAAAAAAATCAAATTTTTGTAGGAACATCCTAGAGACTCGGGAGTTGGTTCATTGCACTCAGAAAAATCCTAGCTCCAAGCCCAACCCTAACCCTAGCTCCAACACTAACCCTAACTCCAACCCTAACCCTAACCCCAGCTCCAACCCTAACCCTAACCCTAACCCATGCATTCCTATGGGAAAAAATCAAATTTTTTTAGGAACGTCCTAGAGACTCGGGAGTTGGTTCATTGCACTCAGAAAAATCCTAGCTCCAAGCCCAACCCTAACCCTAGCTCCAACACTAACCCTAACTCCAACCCTAACCCTAACCCTAACCCTAGCTCCAACCCTAACCCTAACCCTAACCCATGCATTCCTATGGGAAAAAATTTAAATTTTTGTAGGAACGTCCTAGAGACTCGGGAGTTGGTTCATTGCACTCAGAAAAATCCTAGCTCCAAGCCCAACCATAACCCTAGCTCCAACACTAACCCTAACTCCAACCCTAACCCTAACCCTAACCCTAGCTCCAACCCTAACCCTAACCCTAACCCATGCATTCCTATGGGAAAAAATCAAATTTTTTTAGGAACGTCCTAGAGACTCGGGAGTTGGTTCATTGCACTCAGAAAAATCCTAGCTCCAAGCCCAACCCTAACCCTAGCTCCAACACTAACCCTAACTCCAACCCTAACCCTAACCCTAACCCTAGCTCCAACCCTAACCCTAACCCTAACCCATGCATTCCTATGGGAAAAAATCAAATTTTTTTAGGAACGTCCTAGAGACTCAGGAGTTGGTTCATTGCACTCAGAAAAATCCTAGCTCCAAGCCCAACCCTAACCCTAGCTCCAACACTAACCCTAACTCCAACCCTAACCCTAACCCTAACCCTAGCTCCAACCCTAACCCTAACCCTAACCCATGCATTCCTATGGGAAAAAATCAAATTTTTTTAGGAACGTCCTAGAGACTCGGGAGTTGGTTCATTGCACTCAGAAAAATCCTAGCTCCAAGCCCAACCCTAACCCTAGCTCCAACACTCACCCTAACTCCAACCCTAACCCTAACCCTAACCCTACCTCCAACCCCACACCTAACCCTAACCCTAGCTCCAACCCAAACCCTAACCCTAACCCATGCATTCCTATGGGAAAAAATCAATTTTTTTTAGGAACGTCCTAGAGACTCGGGAGTTGGTTCATTGCACTCAGAAAAATCCTAGCTCCAAGCCCAACCCTAACCCTAGCTCCAACACTAACCCTAACTCCAACCCTAACCCTAACCCTAACCCTAGCTCCAACCCTAACCCTAACCCTAACCCATGCATTCCTATGGGAAAAAATCAAATTTTTTTAGGAACGTCCTAGAGACTCGGGAGTTGGTTCATTGCACTCAGAAAAATCCTAGCTCCAAGCCCAACCCTAACCCTAGCTCCAACACTAACCCTAACTCCAACCCTAACCCTAACCCTAACCCTAGCTCCAACCCTAACCCTAACCCTAACCCATGCATTCCTGTGGGAAAAAATCAAATTTTTTTAGGAACGTCCTAGAGACTCGGGAGTTGGTTCATTGCACTCAGAAAAATCCTAGCTCCAAGCCCAACCCTAACCCTAGCTCCAACACTAACCCTAACTCCAACCCTAACCCTAACCCTAACCCTAGCTCCAACCCTAACCCTAACCCTAACCCATGCATTCCTATGGGAAAAAAAATCAAATTTTTTTAGGAACGTCCTAGAGACTCGGGAGTTGGTTCATTGCACTCAGAAAAATCCTAGCTCCAAGCCCAACCCTAACCCTAGCTCCAACACTAACCTTAACTCCAACCCTAACCCTAACCCTAACCCTAACCCATGCATTCCTATGGGAAAAAATCAATTTTTTTAGGAACGTCCTGGAGACTCGGGAGTTGGTTCATTGCACTCAGAAAAATCCTAGCTCCAAGCCCAACCCTAACCCTAGCTCCAACACTAACCCTAACTCCAACCCTAACCCTAACCCTAACCCTAGCTCCAACCCCACACCTAACCCTAACCCTAGCTCCAACCGTAACCCTAACCCTAACCCATGCATTCCTATGGGAAAAAAATCAAATTTTTTTAGGAACGTCCTAGAGACTCGGGAGTTGGTTCATTGCACTCAGAAAAATCCTAGCTCCAAGCCCAACCCTAACCCTAGCTCCAACACTAACCCTAACTCCAACCCTAACCCTAACCCTAACCCTAGCTCCAACCCTAACCCTAACCCTAACCCTAGCTCCAACCCCACACCTAACCCTAACCCTAGCTCCAACCTTAAACCATGCTGGCTGGATTGAAATGTTGCTACTGCTGGTCATGGGGAAGATGTAGTAGCCATTCTTTAGATTGGACTGACACAGGTCATGCTCTATCACAGCAGACATAATCTCAGTGGTGAGAGTGCAGCTCAGATCGAGGAAAATGGTTAATCAGGTGGTCCTATACTGGCACATAGAAGATGCAGCCCTGGAGTGACAGGCATCCCCGACTAGACAAATCTGATATTGTATCTACCTATTATCACAAACTGGGGGGGCAACTGGATACTGATTTATATTGGGCTGGCAAGAGGCATGTAGTGTAGGCACCCACATATGAATGATTCACCCTCTCTGTCTACACTAATCCTGACCATATCCTTTATATTTCCTTACTTCTAAAAACTTAAACTTATCAAACCAATAAAGGTTGCTTGTCGAAAGGTACAATCAGAAATTTAAGGTAAGTTCATTTATTTATCCATAACTAAGGAGAATGATATTTGAGTGTATTTATAAAAGTTCATAGCTATTCAAAATTAATAGCATATGGGTCTGTTGGCACGCCATACACTATGGAGTTAACAAACTTTTGTGTGGTGCTGATTGAGAAGACTCCCCAAAACTCCTCTGACACCTTCAATCATCTCAGCTGACCAGACTGGTGTGAAATCAACAACCAGGGTGCTGGACACTAACCACAGCTCTATGTACATTGGATCAATACAACAAACTCAGAGTTGATCAGACGTGCAGGGATGCGTCTGTTCCGCTCATTTGGTAAGTGTATTTTACATATTGCTCAAGCGTGAAGAGTAACCACTTTTTTTTTTTTTTTTTAAACTGAGCACTTTATTTGTTATGAATATCTGCTTGCCTGGTTGGATAAAATACATTTACAGGACCCCGCAAAAATCAGATATTTTTTTTTTTTCTTCTTTAGTTTCTTTTTTTTTTTGACATGGTTCTGTCTGAAATGCCTCCAGTTCAGTCAGGAACTTGTGAGAAGATGGGAGTGAATTTAAATGATGAAGAACGACGTCTCAGTGCCAGGGGTGAGCATCAAGGGCTTCTTTCTTTTTGCTAAGCAAATTAAGTTGACACTTTAAACATGCGGGAATTTTTTCTGTCCATAATTAAGCAATGTGAACTTAAAGCACTTTTCATAGAGCTCAGCGAACTCTAATCCCAATCTAAAACATGAAATCTTTAACAATTCAAAGAAGTGCTGAGACAACCAAATGCAGGAGTCCAGGTAAATTGAAGATCCTAATCCATCACAGTCTGACCCTTTTACCTTTTATCAAATTGGAAGTTTATGCTGCACAAAATAGTTCAGAAAGGTGCAGGTCTTTTTATCTCTTCAATTAACATTTTCTGTAAGATTTGTTGGAGATTTACCTGTATAGTTTTTCATCATCTTCTGACTTTAAGTAAAGGTGCTTCACAGAAAGACTTTATGTTGGTTTTCTCTGATGGGTTTATGAAAATGTAAAGAAAAAAATTATATACTGTAAATCTTCTCAGCTCCTGTGGATGGAGACAAACAGAGACACTTGGCACAACACTGATTTGTCAGTGTTATTAACAAAATCAATGACGATTAATTCTTGATGTCTGTGTAGGTTCTCATTCATCCAGGTCATGGTTTTCCAGTTGTTCGTTGAAAGGTCAACTGGATTTGTTTGAGGTAGCTCAGAGCTTCAGCTCTTTTCTGTCCATTTGTTGGTCTTATTTGGAGCGGGGGCCTGGGCAGGGGACTTAAGAGGTCAAAACATGGAGACCAAGGAAATCAAGTTCTATTAGGGTGATAGACAGGAGGAGAGGAGAAGAGAAAAGGGAAGAATTGTATGTGTGTTGTGTGTGTGTGTGGTGTGATGTGCTCAGGCAGCTGCAGAGGTGGGACTGGGGTGGGGGAGGGAGGGTCACATCTGGTTGTTTTTGGAGTGGATGATGGTGGGGAGTGGGGTGATAATGGGGTCCCTGGCTTCTAGTATGGTTCTGCAGAGAGCTGGGGTGTTGGTAGCTAAATCCAGGTACTGTCTGGTCAGCGGTCTGTGTCTGTCTTTGGTGGTCTGATGCCCTGAGAGTGTATGTACTGTACTATGTACAATGTGTTTATGTATGGTGGGAGTCTGTAGGCCAGTTTCATTGATTTGTTTTGTAATTTTTTTTTGAGTCTGTAAATTTTTGGTGGTCTGAGGCAGTGATCCAAGTGGGTATTGAGAATTTGAGCAGTGGTTTGATGTATGACAGGCAAACTTTGATTATTGTTGTGGGTGAGGCACCATGCTTTCTGCAAAAGGGCTTTGAGGTGGTTGATCCTGTTGTTTGCTTTTTGCTCTATTGCTGTGATTTGGTTGGTCCAGAACATCTTTGATTGGAAGGTGGTGCCAAGGAATGTTACACCTTGGCTGATGGGGAGCTGGCAGGTGTTGTGGAGGGTGACCTTGCTGTTTGGTGACAGGAGGTTGGGGTTGTGGGTGAAGGTGATTGGGTGGGATTTTGGTTGTCCTTGTGGGTATTGTTTCCTGTTGTGCTTAAGTGAGTATATGGCCTAAAGTTTATGCTTGTGAGTCCAGGTTTCTGTTGCTGTAAGTGGTCTTTATTATTTTTACGGGGTTAAAATTGAAGGTAAGAGAACAGGTAGGCGGTCAGTGGAGATGACTTTTTCAAGTTCACCAGTGAGGACTTAAAAGAAGACGGTCTGAAAGTCATGATAAAGAAAGGGGGCTAACCTTGGCTATTCATGCAGATGATGGTCTGTCACCAATGACAGATTTGGATGGATTTTTTTATTTGCCCTGAGTGGCACTGAGGGCTTTTGACAGATTGTTCAGTTTTTTGGTTTTTTTTCTGCCAGAGGGCACTCCTTCCCAACATGGGACTTAGTTTGGGGTCATTTTGAGCGCAGAAAAGCTGACAAATAAGTCATAAAAACAAAACCAAGTACTCGCCAGTGAGAAGTGTGCCATCAAGTGTGCCAATTAGCCTAGTTGTGGAGTGTTTTTTTTTTCTCTATTAAGACAGTAGGAAAATGCCAAAGTCATTAGCCAAAAGCAAACGGCGCATCGGCCCCAATGGGCATGGTGCTACCGTCTCTGGATCCAGTGGAGATCCCAGTACCAGACCTTCACATTGTCAGCTGACAATCAAAGAAACAATTTTCTGGCATGTCGTTGTGCTGCTGGTGCTAGTACTGGTGAACAAGACTGAGCCGGAATTCAGCAAGGAGGACGCGAGCAGTCCGTGTGATTTATGTCGCATTGTCAGGTTCTCGAGAACCAGTACAACTCCCAGCCATCACAAAGTAACATATCACAATAGGATCTCGAGAGTAATGAGGAGTGGTGTCTGAGGAGGGAGGACCTTGATACCACTGGTAAAGTAGTTTAAAGTTTGACATGCACTAGTCTGAACGAAACTGAAACTATCTCGTAATCCTATAAAGCCAAGAAGAGACAGAAAAGGTCTTTAGATGGTCTTTGAAATGCCGCTAAAGGCAGATCATTAATCACATCTGTCTGTATTCTGGCTCCTTGTGTTTTACAGCAGACGCTCATTTGCTTTCTTTCACCTATGCCCCTCAAACAGTTGAAGTGAAACGTCTACAAACTAAATTTTGCAGTTTTGATAACTTAGAAGTAACATGATTTCAAATACACACCCATAAGCCAGAAAGTGTTCAACACAGTGTTTTAAAAATGTATGCATTCTTTGACTGTGCAGCATGTGTTACACCTTGAACTTGATTAAGTCCTGGTTCAGTCCTACTATTTGTGGTAGGAGTGACCTGTTTTGAAGCAACTCCATGAGGATCAAGAGGAGGTCCACTCGTCCCCCCTGAGGATGACCCCTCCATCTGTACACAGTATCATGTTCTAGTTCAAATCTGTTCAAGCCTCACAGAGAGAAAGACCTCTGTGTCTTTTGCAGGTTTTCCTGGGTTTCGGAGCAAGAGCATACATATTTACAATGAAATGTTATTACCAGTCATTCACCCAGGGGGCCTCCTGCTGGATGTGTGTACTCAAACAAAGGTAGTTCCAGCAGTACACTGCCCTACGATTGAGGAGAAAGAAGAGAGGAATTCTTCTTTGGATCATTTATTACTCCAGCGACTCTGTGGCGTTTCATGCAAACTGCACAGCATCCAACTCAGCACACTGTTAAGTTAAAGGGGCCTTGATTTGGGTCAGAGGATAGCTCAGGGTTTCACTGTGAATAAGAAAGGAGGAAATGGAAACCCTTTATTCATCCACCTCTAAACAAGAAACAAATGTATGAAAGATGGACAAAAATCTGTGAATTCACAAACGTCTGACCTTCTGAACTCGGCCCACTCTGGCCTTGCTGTGTATTTTTCATTACCTTCTCCCCAGCTGCTGTGTGCATGTGCACTGGAGAGAAAAATGTGAATTCCACCACAAGTCCCGAGAGGAGCCATGTCACCAACTAATGCCGAACCACCACTGCGACTCTAACAACATTTTCTTCATGTTGCTGAAAAGCAAAAAGGAGGTTTTTGCCCAAAGTGACACTACTTACTCAATTTGTCTTCAACGAGGTAAATAACACACCCCTGTCATGCATGCGAACATAATGTTGCCCAGTTTTCACCATGTTAAATGTCTTCAATACAAAAATGTTTGCCCACATCAAGCACTTACTTTTTTTTTTATCCTCCTACCGGTGCATTTCCTACTTGGCCCCCAAAGTTCTAAAAAGAGGGACTCATGTCTCCATGAAAATGCAATTAGAATTCATGTATATCTTGCATATCAGTTGCATTTCAATGAAGTAAAAGTCATAACTTTTCTTCCTTGAGCTGCGGAACTCCGCTGCACTTGGTGATTGACTCGTCAGGGCTCCCCCACAAACAAGCGGCTGCTGGAGGAGAGTGGGTAAGTTAGTTAGTTATGGTCGTGGTTTGCACATGGAGATATACACCACTGTGTATTGCTATTGTGTGGTCTTTGTCGAAGGTGGTGGAACTAGAGATGCTAGTGTTTGGCAAAATTCATCTCTCGAAGGGGTGGGGGTCTAACTCAGTGTCACTGTGTATTTGACCATGGCTTAAACTTACGCCGGAATATCTCTTTCAGGCATTGAAAATATTTTTTGTTGTTATTCTGGTGCATACTTATAAAAAATAGGGTTGTAGACTTTTTGCCAACTCATCAGTCCAGCTGTTTAAATTCTCACAGAAACACTCAAACCTCATGGAGCAATACTGTGTATTTTTCGCCTGTTTCCGTATAAAGGGACCAAAAACAGCACCTTGTACATAAACCATTGGTTCAGTCAGAGCACTGTGTTCGGTCCAAGGTTCAACAGCTGATTCTGACCCCAGCCCATATCATCAGATGACCCTCCCTGCATATAATTTATGAACGTCTGAATGAGCCTTCTGCATAAACCGCTCCCAACTGGCTTCTCTTTAAGTCTTTTGCATGTGCTTCACACATTCGTGCTGTTAATGCAGGGTCACACTGATTCATGACTGTGACTTCCCCAGCTGTGAAGATCCACACAGGCAGTAGTTACAGTACCGTATAGGTGCAACAACCAATATGACGTATGCGATCAAGGTTATTCTCTGTTTTGCAAATGTCACTGCTGCTTTATACCTCTCCTTGTTTTCTGCACACTACTGCAGAAAAGAAATTTAAGAAATGCCAACACAACATGCTTCATATGTCAAATAATTCTCAGCTTTTATTAGAGACAGAAAATACACTTTTATTTTCAATAACTCGCTTTGAATTTGGCTGTCACTCTCTGTTAGTAATTATAAAAAGTCAAAGTGTGGTAGATTTAAGTACTGAGCAAAAACATATCTCCATTACTGTACCCCAGTCAAATGGAATAGGGTAACATGTATTGAACTGCTTTCACTACCTAATTAAAAGGTAACACATGGTATATCATTATCAGATTTAGCCTATGATAGTGTAATTATACCAATGGAAAGCGATTTTATCATTGGTTGCTGCAGACAGTAATCAATCACCAAAACCTGAAATGCCACACAACAACAGACCAATTTTCTATAATAAATTGAAGGAATTACAGTGTGAAGAAGAACATTAAATATGACCCAGTCTAGCTCTGACTTCTTCAGCGGTGGTGAGCTGCACCCCTGCCTGAGCTCCATACTGATGCATACAAATGATTTTCACTATTTCTGTAGGTGCTGCACAAACCCATTTCACAGGATATACAGTACAAACTACAGAAAGGTCAGGAATTTAAAGCAAGGCTGCTCTTGAGCTAGGACTTTTATCAATTTCACTTACATCACAAGCGTCACTCACTGTGCAGACTTCCCCTCGGTGCCCTTCGTTGACTGCATTTTAAATCTCCACACTGCAGGAAAGACTACACTCTTCCTCCCATCTGCTCAGGCAGTCCATTCCTGCAAACACTTGAAACATGTTTATCAGTTTTTATTTATTCCTGACATAGTAATTTAAGGGACAGCTTTTACACCTAACCCAGCTATCTCTTCTTAACTGTGTGGCCTTAGAGAATACATGCAAGTGCACATCCGGTCTGGGCAGTTGGGATTTTAAGTGTTGTACAAGAGGCAATTCCAGGCGCTGTGTGATAATCAGATTTTTGCAGTATAAAGGTCAATTTATCCTCTTTTAAAGAAATGGAGCACTCTGATTAATATTTCATACAGTCATTGATTCCCACTGACCTTTACACGGGAGATAGGGTTCAATTATCTTACTCAGAGAATGGTGAATGAAAGCATTTCCAGTGTTGCGTTAATGGCTTAACTGCAACATTTTTCATAGTTATCAGGGCGAGGTTGAGGAATACACAGTGCAGCAGCATAATGGTTTTATAACCATGCAGGCTGATTTGTTTTCATGCATCCCATTCTTCAATTACAAGACGGGGCAAAAAGACTTTGCACTGCAGGATTAGTAAGATACGGATCGGCATCTACCGAAAATAACGAAAAAGTTGAATAACAGCTTGTAAATTCTGATTCAAAAAGCAACTCTTCCTGTGAAGTCTAACTTTTTACAAACTAACAAGAAAGAAGAAAGTCTTTGTCAGCAGTGCATCAAAAGGTCTCTCAGGAGAAATCATCTGTGGTTACTGACAAACATTTGTGAGGCTTCTGTTGGGTTGATGTTAAAAGTGTCCATAAATAGTATTTTCAGCTGTTAACAACATTTTCCAAATATGCTTGTGCTCAATGGATGGATGTGCTCAGAATGGCTGCAGGAATTTACTGATATTAGAAACTGTAATTTTTGCTTGTGAATACCTCAGTACAAAGGATGTTCTGAATTATTTAAGAGGTATGTTTGCACATACGGACAAATCATCAGCCAAACAACGCTAAATTTGGCTGAATTAGAAAATGTGTAGGTGGTAAAATGAAGAACTGTTTGGGAGCCGAAAGAGCCGGCTCTTCTTGGTGAACTGAGCGGAATGATCTGGCTCACTAAAAAGAGCCGTGATTCCCATCACAGCAGAGTCAGAGGTGTAAATAATTAAATATATAAACCTGACGGGCCAAACAGAAGAACCCAACAAAGTACTCTACGTATCTGATCCAGGGTGTAACCCATATCAGGAAGAAACAACTGTTTAAGTGCTGTGAACAACAGCACACCTCTCTTCTGAAGGTCTGAGGCAGTCTGGGAACATAGTGGTTGGCACAAACAAACAAACAAAGACGTACCACCTGTGGCTGGCATGCCGCAGATTAAAATTAAATGTTACCACTTTGGCACTTTATTTAGAAAAGACCAACATCTGATGTGAAGCATATTGGAGAATACTATCTGTGTTTTTTCACTTTGTTGTCCTTTTGACTTTCTTCTCAAATTATTTTCTGAGCATGGGCTGTCAGAATCGGACATTCATTTCTCTCCGTCATTTCATGTCAAGATCAATGCAGCTATTTAAATTTGTTCAACTTATTGCAAGTCAAACTCCCTTGTCCTCTTTTTTTTTTTTTTTATGTGTTCCTGCATTTGCCAAATCTCTGTAAAAGCAGTTCAATCTCATGATCAATGACTTTCTCACATGATTTTTCATTATTGTCACTGTTATACAGTGAAAGTGTTAATGTACCCATCTCTTGCTGCCTTTGTTAGACATCTGCATGTATTAATACATTTCTGACATAAACCTTTTGAACTGTTGCTGCTTGACTGAGCCTGCAGACTTTGTGAACTGTGACGTGTTTAATAGAAGCTCATATGTGACATGACAATCTCTGCATCTCTTGTGAATAAACTAAGATTTATCCTCTGTATGATTTTATTCACGTGTGGAGCTCATCACTTTATTTGCTGCAGTCCTTGGTCTGAATCATGCGAGAAACTAAGGAGAAAGTGGACTTTTTATTCACAAATGTTGTAAATCATGTCCTCTGATCTATGTACAGCAGGCTTACTTGTGCCAGTAGTTGGCAGAGGAGACTGTTTTGTTGCATGACAGAAAAAAACATTTTAAAGGAGCTCCAGAGAGTAGTCCATGTTTGAGCAGTCAGTGTTAAAGGTCATGTGCTTGGTAGTGTTTGCCAGCCCTGCTGTGAAATAATAAAGTGCCTGTTTTCTACGCCACGGTTCTTGTGTAAAAACAGGCACTAGTCAATCTAATTTTTGGGTATGAATTTCAGATATAGATCCAAGTGTAGCTGAACACAGATCCTAGCTAAGCATCTGGAAAAAGGGAGAGACTGCATGCCAAGCTTTAAAATCTGTCAAAAACGACTGTCATTCCTTTCTTCCCATCACTCAACTGTATCATAATCATTCTTCATTTTTCTATTTTTGTCCTTGATAAAGGTTCTATTATGGACTGGAGTCTCACCTCTGTTGCTCACATTACAGGCAGATGTGAGGGGTGAACCAAAAATGGGTTACAAGGAAACATTGTGATACAGCACAGCAGATCAAGGATCAAGGAGAAAGACATCTCCTTCTCCTTGATCTGCTGCGCAGTCTGTGAATTAATAAAAGAGGCATTGGACATTGAGCACGGAGTTAAACGCTGGCTGGGAAGCATTGTAAGCAGACGCTGAAAACCAGCTACACTCAGGAAAACTCACCTGTGGATGTGCGCAATAAAGTTGTTTATCAGTGGTAGGAATGCCTGTTCACTGTATTTTTGTTCATTGGGAACAATTGCCTATTTGATTGAGGATTGGAGACATCAGTTTATCACAGTTGTCAGTGATGTACCTGATGCTGCTGGATAGCATCATGGCTGTGAAAGTTTGAATCTCTACACTCTCTCTGAATGTTTCGCCGCTCTGCTGCTTTGTGGAACAACAAGGAGGATGATGTTCTTTGTTGGATGAAATCCATCTGCAAATCTGAAAATGTGTAGCACCTTAGTGTGGATGTTTTAAACAAACAAACAAACGAAATGAAGAGATGGAGAAGAGAAACTAGACTTACAACCAAGGCATGTGCAAATAAAATTGAAAGGCTTCAGCTTAAATGGGAATCACTTTTTTTGGACAACACAACATCTTGAAACTCCCGGATCATTGGAAAGGTCCTCAAAACATTTCCAGACAAGAGGACATTTTTGTGTCGAGTGCAGAATCAAATTTTAAGTAGTGGCCTGGACCGACAAATCACAAAGATCTGTCCGCTGATGAAAACTGAAGCTGCATGGAGGAGCTACTGCTGAATCTTGTTGACTTAGTTTGACTCAGATATACCGCAGAATGACCTAAGATTGTTCATCAGTCTGATCCTTGAAGTCATGACTATTGATGTCACTGGCGTCGCATGATGTAGACTTTGATGAATTCTAGGGCTGTGATCAACCAAAGAAATTCTTGGTCGACTAAAACCCTGAAATTTTTGACCAAAAATCGACTAATGGGTGGGGGTGGTATATTTTTTATTAGGGGTTGGCAGTAGCTCACAAGGTAGCATGGTTGTCCAACAACCGGAAGGTTGGCGGTTCAATTCCCCCCTCTCCCCAGCCTGTCCATTGTGTCCTTGACCCTCCTTGCTCCCAGTATGTGTATGTGTGCACCACTGGTGTATAAATGTGAGTGATGTGTGGTGGTGGTTGGAGAGGCCATAGGCGCAATGTTGTATCCAATCTAAGTGCTTTGAGGGTCTCTGATAAAGCGCTATAAGAAATCTGATGCATTATTTTTATTAATAATTCTAGGTAAATATGTGTGATGACCCAATGATTTGGGAGCTGGTATGTAGGAACCACAGATTTACTGATTATGACATACATGCAAAAGTAGTTTTAGGGAGAAAGGTATGTGATTATTTGTGTATTGTAGTTTGTGTTTTTTTTTGTTTATTTGATACCAAAATTGAGCAGGTAAATAGTGGGTCACCTGGGGGGGACTTTGTTGATTTAAGCCACTATCTTTGTGGTGTGGAGAAAAAGGGTTGAGCTGGATCGCTCTATTTTTGTTGATCATTATTTATTATGTTTCTGTGATCACTTTTACTCTAATTTTGTGAAAGTTATAATTGCTTGATCATCTTTTTTGTTGTTAAGATTTTAAAGACATTATTTTCATATTCAGTGATTGATTTCCCTTTTGCGTGTCGTGAAATACGAGGCCCTACCTCGACCTCTCAGCTGCTCTTTGTTTTGTGAAGTTGCTACAAAAATACTGTGCAATAAAGACACTCAAACCCCTCAGACTGTCTCAGAAGTAAGCCATCGGGCTTTAAGTAAAGCTGTTTTCTTTCTGAACATCTGACATTTTCTACTTTTTTTCCCAGCATAACAGTAATTTGCCGTTCTGCTGTGACACTTTTTCAAACGCATGGAAATCAGTGTTTAGAGGAGTGCTTGCTGCCAGGGAAAACAGAATGGACAGATTACATGATTCCTCATAGATTATCATATTAATCACAACAGTAAACTCTTTAGCTTTGACAGTGTTTGATGTTGGATTTAATAACATGTCTTAAATGTTGTTTCCAGGCACAGATTCAGAATTTCCTGGCTTGTTAACTTGGGTAATTGCGTGGAGGCTGTGCAGCATCACCCATCAGGGTTCTCCTGAGCTTTTGCTTGAAATTTGGCTGATGAATGTAAAAATAATTCCTACCTGCTTCATGGAGGGAGATGATTAGAGGGATGTCACAGTGAGGAGGCAGCTAGTGAATGACAGAGCTCTGATGCTGTTTGATAGGACACACACACGCACACACTGACACATACTCTGCTTCATTATTAAACGGATTTATACATTTCTATAAATGTCCAAATCTTCAAAGAAATACCTGGAAGACGGGATTTTAGCTGCCGCGTGTGAAAGCAGTGATTTGACGTACTTTGAAAATGTTCTTACGAAGCAAATGAATCAGGTCCTGCTATTGTTTTGCTCATCTCTATCAATACACACTCATAAACACACACACACACACACACACACTGTTTGTGACTCTATTTTTACTGCCTCTCATCTGGTTTGAGTCCACAGTCCCTGACAGAATTGGTGCGAGAGGTTGCAGAAAGTTTTTCCACAGGCTTTTACTTCTTTTTTTTTTTTTTTAAGTGTTTGCTCTGGGGTGACACAGAGTTAACAGGGTTAATCACAAATATTCAAGTAAAAATATCACTCTAATGTCAAAAGCTGTGTTCTCTCCATTCTGGGTGGTTTTAATAAGTTAGGCCAAATTTAGGTCAAGCTTCTTGATGGCAGTAGCTCTCAGCTGGACTCGTTTTCTGTCCTTTCTCTTTTTCTAACCTTCACTGTCGTCATTTTTACACTCAGCACACAACAGAGACCCTTACGTCATTCCTGCACCCCTGGACATACTGGTTGACAATAGGTGTGATCAGGCTCATTGATTGTGTGTCCCTGTCTTGAAGGGGCAGAAACAAATCTCCAAACAAAACCACAGTCAAAACAATATTTTTTAAAAAATGCCCATGATATGTGATTGTCACATGGATTGGAGAGCCATACTTCAAGTTGCTATAAGATGACTTGACCCAGAGTCGGCCAACCGTGCAGAGGCAGTGATATTGACATTTTTAACAAACACAATCACAACAACAACAACAACAACAACCACCCCCACAGACAGACCACAAGAGTACAAGTTCACACTCGACCCCAAGTTCAAATGTCTGAAATATTGACTTTGACAAACCAAATTGATATTTCGCTCTATAGCCCAAAGGTATTGTTGAATATTTCTGTCTTTATTTGAGTTATATGCATTACAACCTACTTCAGTGAAGTTAAATGGAGATGAGAGTTGCCAACCCCTCAGTAAGGGGAGCCGCTAGTGGTTGTCATAAAAGTCTATGGAAGTTGGTTGAAAGGAGAGTGGCAGAGACAGCAGGCTGTTGTTCTAAAAAGTGTTCCAGCATGTCAAGTGCACCATTCCACCTAGTTACCTCTGCCAAGGATGTTATGTTTTCTGCAGCGTTGGTTTGTTTGTTTGTGCCATGACCAGGTTTCGTACCCTAGAACTTTTGGTTGTGAGGCGACAGTGCTAACCACTACACCACTGTGCCGCCTATGTTCACCACAGTGCCGCCCATTCCTTATCTTGCAGCATTGAAAATTCCAACGACGCCTTTATTTTTGTGTGTTCTGGATCACAATATCCAGAATTTTGTCCGGATCACCACCGAAATTTAATGGGATCCTCCTGGGGCTGAGACGCACCTCTGGTGAAAATTTCAAGTCAATCCGTCTGTTTCTTTCTCCGTAAGGTTGCTAACAGACAAAAAAAAAAAAAAACAAACCAACGCTACCGAAAACATAACCTCCTTGGCGGAGGAAATAAGCGTGTCGTTGGAATTTTCAATGCTGAAAGATAACTAATGGGCGGTACAGTGGTGTAGTGGTTAGTACTGTTGCTGCACAACCAGAAGGTCCTGGGTTCAAAACCTGGTTACAGCAGTTCTTGTTTTAGGAACAGTGAACATACCAGTTTAAACACAAATAGACGTTAATAAAAGACACGTAACAGTAAAAGTTTTGTTGTGAATCTCAATATAAGGGGGGACATGAGATGCTTGGCGGAGGTCTGCGCTCTCCGAGTGCTTTTCTAGTTACAATCTCATGATTTTTTTTGAATGAATATTTTTTGAAAAATCTGTCAGATGTAATCATATTTGAATGGTATGAGGAATGAGAGGACAAACGTAAATTTAATATATAAATAAATGGTTGGCCTAGTCCAAATCCTCTCTGAGTAATTGAGAGAAAAGCAAAAAGTGTTGCAACTGTCCCCAGTCTCCCCTACTTATAAATAGTAGGGGAGAATGGGGACTGTGGTTGAGGACAACCACAACCATCTCCTTTAACATAAACACTGTCATAAATCTGCCTCAAGATAGGGGAAGGAGACATTTAGGAGCAGCTTATGACAGAGTCAAAGTAAACTAACTGTTGCAGTAACAATGGTGGTAAGATGTGTGTAATCGGTTGCATTGTTAACATGTTTGTGGGTGTGTTAGGGAGAATGGGAGAAAAATAGAGTGAAGTACAGACGTGCAGATCCAAGTGTGGTGGAGAGTAAGAGAGAGAGAGAGAGCTGCAGGAGACTGTTTGCATATCTTGTGTGGGTCTAGGTGCTCCATGTCTTGCTGGATATGTAAATCAGTTCTCCGGCAGCTCCAAGAAAACATATGCACAATTAGTACAAATCCAAACAAACAAACATATATTTAAAGTAGGAGCCGACAAAACACACACCCTCACCCACTACCACAAACATGCACAGAAACTCAATCACACTCTAAACTATACATCTTTAAGATAGTCTCCGCTGCGTGTGTTTTGCAGTGTGTGTGTGTAACTTGTGTATATTAATTATCTCTCTGCACAACTTGTTCACTCCATCTACTGGTGGGTTTGTGGATAACAAATATTTCTAAAGCAGCACCTGAGTAACTGTGTAGTCTAGTTATCAATCACAGTAAGGAAGTTGTGAACCTTACATCTCACTCTTTAAAGCATAAAAGTGTGCTGTGCCAACGCTGAAAAAGACGCACAGTCATCTGTCAGGGTGGTATCACATTGACAAATAGCTGTGAGCAATCATACTGTGAGTGTTGTATCCTGCTTTAGAGGCATGGGGGTATTTTCTTCTGGCAGAATGCCTCTAAATTATGTATTCAGTATTTGTGTCTTAAATTAGTATTATTGTGGGTGTGAATCCAACTTTTTAATCACCCAAGATATAACACACTGAAAAGGATTGTTTCAGTTTTTGAGGAATATAACACTTCAACTCTTATTTTATTTTTGGAAATAGTCAGCTGGGTGTTTATGCTGACATACTGACTTTTCCACTTTCTCACTGTCTTTGTCCACGCTAATGAGAGAGACAAATCATAAAGAATAATACATCTAGATGAATTATTTTGGTTAATGCAGAAAGTTTGTGTTTATATTTTTTGTTGTTTGGACATTTAATTAAAACAGAATAGAGTAATACACACTTTTCCACTGGAAAAACAACTGCTTCAGCAGAACCATCACTCCTCTAAGAAGCAGAGGGAGTTAGGGCAGAAAAGTCTGAACATATGAGAGATAGAGAAACTGAAAGTTGTTTATCTAAAATAATAATGCAGTTCAGCTCAGTTAAAGTTAGTTTATTTTTGTTTTAGATAGTTACAAAGTTAGGAGGTGAAGGAGGCCTCTGCGCTCTGTTGAGAGAGATATAAACATTGACAAGGACAAAGTGGTTGGCAGGTTTGCCACCATGAAGGAGAGGAGGGTGACGTATTAAAATGGACAAAGTTCAAGTTTGTTAAAGAGTTTAGATGGAGTTTAATAGAGGATCATGGACAGAGAGAGAGAGAGAGAGAGAGAGAAAGAGAGAGAGAGAGGCTACAGTAAAGGACAGCTGACTGAACAGAAACAGAAACAAATTTACACTTTATTTTTCATGAGCTTAGATATCTGTCTTGGGGCTAAAAGTGTACATTACCTCCTCATCTGTTACCCGGGAATCCCACTGGATCCAGAACGGCTCCGCTCCGCTCCAGACCTGCAGGCAGATCAAATACGCAAGCATACAGCGCCCACTGGATCCGATCCGCCTCCGCCACCAGAGGAGAAGCGCTTCCGAGATTACCGATATTTCTCCCGAGACTGGACAAGATCTTGTGTGTTTCCCTGTGAGACATTGAATGAGATCCGCCGATCGGTGTATATAAACACTGGTGTATATAAACACCCAAATCCCACAACCCTGGCCTCTCCTATTATCAAGTGAAGAACAGTTCAACATATTGACTTTATTTTATTTTGAAAGTTAACCGGATATTTTACTCTGTAGCCGCAAACAACTTCTGCTGCTGCTCGTACTGAGCTGCACTAAATTGATGCGTTGTGCTGTAGTGTCTGGCAAAAATAGAAGCTCAACCTTCGTCAGGGCGGGGCTGCGCCCTAATATAATCGTATAGGGAAACATTGGACTTGGTCCTGTCCCCTCTGTTCTCAGAGTTTAGCTCCAGCCTTGATTTCAACACAATCTCCACTATTGTGTCTATTAAATGACGGTACTATAATTTCAAAAGTCTCAGTCTTATATAGCACAGAACAGCTGCAACAAGGTAGTTTACAGTTTAAACTTTAAAAAAAGGGTCAAGTAACAAACTACATATATCTAACTTCACAGACCTCCAGTGCGTCATGAGTACTGAGAGGTTTTGATGATTATTTCAGTTGGGTTTTTTTCTTCTGGAGTGGCAGCACTGGAGTCCCACAGTGGACCAAAGATTCACACATTTTTTTTTCTTTTTTTCTCACATCAATAAGTCATTTTAGCAGAGTAAGGAAACAAAAGGTGTTGATGTTTCATCCTCCTACTCACTCCTCTTTGTGGACCATCGAGGTTAGTTTAAAAGCTTGGGGGGAAAAAAATCATCAAATGGTTCAGTTTGATGTGATCTCTGAATAATATCTCCTCACTTCAGAAGGGTCTGAGCGTGGAGATTTGAGAAAAGATGAGGTGTTACATGTTTGATGTGGACACTGTGAAAATAAAAGTGGCTAAATAATCCCTCTAAAGTTTTGATTGATTATAAAACAGGCTAATCTTAAAACACAGGCCTCTATGTGTTCCACAAAAACACAGCTGACATGATCCCATCACTCTCATCTCACCAGTTTAAAATAGATCCAACACCTTAAAACATTTTTTTATTATTTGCAGTGTATTCACACTGTCTCCATCATAGTTGTTAGATATCTATAATTGCCTCCAAAGCAGTCAGTCCAGACAAGTTTTGTACCACTTTTGCAGTTTAAATCAAAAGAAAAACAAGTTTCGAATGCAGAAACTTTGCTTCAGTTTTAGGCATGTAACAAATAAATCCAGATAAAAGGAGATGAAAGAGCTCGTCTCGCCGCCTTCTCCTGACTCAACAGCGCCCAGCTGCTGCAACAGAGGCAGATTTAGGGAAGAGTGAAAAGAGGAATAATACTTTCTGATTCCTGTCTTTGAAAACTATCTGTCACAAACCGAGTGAGCTCTCATTGTCCCTCGCAGCTCTGTAAATGATTCTCTGGGGCTTTTCCTCATTCACTCGTGTGTGGCTCATTTCCTCTCTGAACAATAAAACTGTATTGATGACCGACTGAACGGGTGTCAACAGTAAGGTTATTGCATCTGTGGAGAGTGGCGAACGATGCTGTGTGTGTGAGTGTGTAAGTGTGGGATTACAGGATGTGCTCACTTTATCTCAGTTTGGGTCCCAGTTGCATATCATATATACAGTACTAATTTCTTCTTTTCCTCAAATTTTCTTCCATTCTGAGACGTCCCCCCTCTCAGTGCTGCCAACTCTCCTCTGCCGGCCCATCCATTTCCCCTACACAAGAAAATCCTCATACATTCACAATTACTATAAGGATCCCAAAGACTTTAAGATTTTATCACAGCAACTTCAACCAGCAGAACCTCCAGTGAATATTATGAGCCCATAAAAAGGTCTGAACGTAGACTGTGGACAACTTGATTCCACCTTCCGTCATTACACAAATTTGAAGCTGAATTGCTCTCGGTATTTCCGGGATTTTCTCCATTTCCTGGAACCACCACTTGCGCAGTAGTGTTGTACGCATTTGGCAGGAGAATCACTGTGATGACGCTCTGCTCAAACAGTGTAGCCCCCGGGTGAGCTATTCAATCCTTGTACGTCCATAGGCTGTATCAAGTGTCAATCATAGAGAACATGAACCCCCAAATAATTTTTAAAAATGGAGCTGTACAGAAAAAAAGAGCAAAAAGCTGTTTTACAAATGTCAACATCACAACCAGGGGGGAGAAAAATTTATATTCTGTGTAATAAATTTCTAAGGTTTGTCCACAGCTTCATGGGGATTGTTGGAGGAGGAGGGATTTAAGACCTGTACTGCAGCCCGTCACCAGAGGATGTTGTTCTTAAGGTCCTGACACACCGGCGAATTTGCGGGGCGAAGCGAAAAAGCGAGACAAAAATTGCGAATATTCACCGGTCCGAAAAATCGCTTTCGCCTATACACACCGGCCGCGAAGCGAATATGCGTATCACAGCGAATAAGCGAATTAATAAAGTCGCTTTGCGGCACGGAGGAGAGGAGATGCGGGGTGGAAGACAAGAGAGTGTCATCTTGTGAGGAAACTACTTCATTAGTAATCAGAAAGAGTTTTGGATGCACCTCAGCTGCCTTTCTCTGCGTATTCATAATCTCAAACTTCTTCCTCTCCTCCAGCCGTATGGGTCTGTGACGTCATCAACAACATGACTTTTGATTGGCCAGAGGTCTAGCAGGTCCAGATATTCGCCTGTGAATATCCGAAAAATTCGACACAGGAGCGAAAAAATAAAAGCGGCTTTTCGCCCCGCGGAAAAATCGCCGCCGGTGTGGAAGCTTGCATTGACTTTATGCTGTTTTAAAAAAAGGCGAACAATTCGCCTGGCGAATTCTCGCCCGGTGTGTAAGGACCTTTAGGGTGGTTTCACCCAGCGAGGAGGTAGATGGCGTCCATTCTACATGGACATGGTGTATGGGTCTAAAGAAAAGTTTTGAAAAAAGTTGATTAAAAGTTTGTTGATGGTTTGCAAGTCGATTGTATCCTGTTTTGTTTGGGTCTCTTTTTTAGTGGTCACGGTCAAACATTGAGCAGAAGAGGAGTTGGGGTATAGTCAAATCACTGAGAAGTTTTGCAATGCTGAAAATATTCACCTAGATGAAGATCATCTAACTAAAGAAGTCAGTTTGCAAAAGGATAGTAACAGGACTGGGAACTGCCAAGTGTCCACTTTCAACCCTTTTTCCACACACACTTGGGGCCCTGGTAATTATAAAACAGGTTGCTAACAACTGATTTATTTCACATATATGTACTCGATATCTTAATAGGTCTGCTGGGGGTTACACATAGTAGTCCAAAGAAATGTGATGTGAGCACAGATTTCTCAGGGGAAGCCTGCAAGCATAAAGGGGAAACAACAGCTGTAACACACAAGCTTGAAAAGCCCAATATTTACCCTTAAAGAACAAGTTTGTCTGTAAGTTTAAATACAAAGCTCATCCATGATGAAATTAAACCATATTTATCTTCCCATCTAAGGGAATTACTAACTAGAAAAGCACTCGGAGAGCGCAGACTTCCGCCAAGTGACTCATGTCTCACCTTGAACAAGAATGAACTGACTGGGATTTGAACCCACAACCTTCTGGTTGTGAGGCAACAGTGCTAAACACTACACCACTGTGTCACATATCTACCCTACTGTGCCGCCCATTACTTATCCTTCAGCATTGAAAATTCCAACAACACCCTTATTTTTGTGTGTTCTGGATCACAGTATTCAGAATTTTGTCCGGATCACCACCAAATCAGAGATGCACCTCTGGTGAACATTTCAGGTCAATCCGTCTGTTACTTTTTCCGTAAAGTTGCTAACAGACAAACAAAAAACCCAACGCTACCGAAAACACTAGAAAAGCACTCGGAGAGCGCAGACCTCCGCCAAGCGGCTCATGTCCCCCCTTGAACAAGAAATGCCCTGACTGGGATTCAAACCCAGGACCTTCTGGTTGTGAGGCAACAGTGCTAACCACTACACCACTGTGCCACCTATCTACCCCACTGTGCCGCCCATTACTTATCTTTCAGCACTGAAAATTCCAACAACACCCTTATTTTTGTGTGTTCTGGATCACAGTATCCAGAATTGACATATGACTGTGGTCATATGAGGATCTGATAAAGCCTGTGGTATACACTTGCAAAGGACTAGTAATACTGAATAATACAGTATGCAGGTTTTACAGCAATATACTGTATGTTGCCATCCAGACAATGACTTTTTCAGGGAAGCATTTGCACATATCAGCACAAAGAATCAAAACTGTATTCTAAAAATTTTTAATATAGCATGCTCCCTTAGTAGAAGCATAGAGGTACGAAACTGGCCTGCCTACAGTCCTGACTTGTCATACATGGAAAACCTTTGGGGCAATCATGATATGAAAATGACAACAAAGGAGACTCCAAATTATAGGGTGACTGAGATTCATTACCAGGCAAAAGTGGGACGCTAGTTCGCCTTTAGAAACAGGTCCCATCAGCCCTGAAACACTCAGAGATTGTAATTGACAAAAGTACTAAAAGAAAGTAATAAAATGCCCCTCAAATGACTGTTTAAAACATTTTTTTTTTCAGATGTTGCACTTGCTTTGTTGTCTTAGCACTATTTTCAATTTAATAGGTTACACAGTGTGTAATGATTACACAGTGTCCCAACATTTTTGGGAGTGGGGTTTGTATTTAATCTATCTCATATCTTGATGTTTCTCCCAGTCAAAAGAAAGCATTTTGCTGTGTTTTTTAGGACCTGGTATTATCTCGGGTCACCATGTGTTGAGATGTGTAATGAGTTACATGCTCCTGAAATCATAAACCGGATATGTGCAGCCTGAAACCCACAAACCCTCCCTGATGCTCAGAGCTACACTTTAAAGCTTCAGCAGACTCAAGATAAAATTCCACTCCCCTCCTGTGAGTGATGTCTCCTGTAAAACTGTTGTTTTCTTAGTTTTTAATGCTTGTCATTTTGATTTGAACCACTATTAGTTTCAGTTACTGATGGGATTGGAAATATCTGGTGCTTCAAATACATAGATTACAAATAACAGTGATCTTAACATGTGATCAGTTGTCTTTAGTGATACTGTACACACAGACAAACATTTCCATCCCATTTTTTTAGCATTTCTACTTACCCAGTAAACCCTGCTGCTTTTCCACCCCTCTCCTCTGGTGTATGGCATAACCAAGGGTGCACACTTGGAGCTCTATATTTTAACTTGAACATACATTCACACAGACATTCATCCTTATACCTACCTGCTATGTTGGTCATGCCTGCTCATGTTTCCAAATGAGGAAACAGAATGCATGATTTCCCTGCAGTAAATAGGTGAGTATGACGACCAAAGTAGTCACATGATGCAGGAAAAGTTACTCTGTAGTTGTTTGCTATAGATCCCTAAAAGTCCATGCACCACCGATCGCTCTGACATTCTGGTTAAAATGGTAAAAAAAATTACAGTCAAAGGTCTGAAGGTTTAAAAGAGTTAAAATGGTTTAAATAAAAAAGAGTTTATCTCTAAAATTATGTAATTAATAACACTCACTGGAAGGGGCAATGGGGGTTTAAAAGAAGGCTGCCTGGGCCTTTCAGTCAGTCCAGATTTTGTTGCATTGAAGGTCACAAGCTCATTGTTGTATTGCTGCTGTGTTTCTTTTTATGAGTGTGAATTCATGAGTAAAAGCAGAACTCTTGCCTTGTTGGCTTTTTTGTGTTGTACATTTTTGGTTAATAGTTTTTTTGATCATGTTTCATCTTTAAACCTCCACACCAGTGTCATGCATCTGAAACACAGTACATTTGACAACTCCATCAACTCCAGATGCTACACTTCTGCTGAGCTGCCACATCCTCCTCTTCCCCCAAAGCAGCTGGGGTAAACACAGCCAGACCAGAGCAAGTCATGTTAGTTAAAAATCATAATTACATGTTGAAATCAGCAGGATAAAAGCTAGTTAATCAAGGTAACAGATGATGACGTTGTGAGATGTTCAGGGTTGGGTCACTAAAACGAGAATTGGGTGAGTAAACTTGTTACCATGATGTTTTCAAAAGTCATGTCCAGAAAAAATAAAAAATAGTTTTTGGGCAAAATCTGTATAAAAACAAAAGGAGAAAAAAAAGATACAAAGGATTGAACAACCATATCAGTAAGGATGTGGATCCTTAAGGAGTCAAGTATCAATATCAATTACTGATCCAAATCCCTAATCCTGTGTGACACCAACATCCAGAAAGCTGCGATTAATGAAGATCTGTGTGTACAGACCCTTCTGGATGTTGACCTTGGCTTCCTGGGACCATAAGGAATTTAAAGGAAAGACTTGGTTCTCACCATTTTGACAACCTTGGACAGTATAGCCTGGAGATTACAGAGCTGGAGTGGTTTGTAAACCCCTGAAACCAACAGTTTAAGGATTTTATTTGGGCATGTTGAGGCACAAATAATAAGGGTGAAGGGGTGAAGTCCTGCTGCTGAAAATATTGAGCATCTGGCACTTAATTCCGGCATTCAGGTGATATGTATGTGAAATTTAGTGGGGAAAAAAAACATTCAAAGGGTTAATTTTACATTTCATACACTGAAAGGGCATCAGTGGGGCCAAGGAGCAATCTACTATAAGCAATCAATCTCAAACACAAGGATATAAATGACAGTCTGGGTTCTGTATAAACTTTAGTGCACATCACCAGGTATGTAACCAGAAGATCAATCATTTCTTCACTGTGACAAAGGATAAAATGGATTAGTCATGTCTAACACATCAGCAAAGATCTGATTTGCTCTGTAAAGGAGGTTAATAAAGGCACTTTGTGGGTGACTGATTGACTCTTGAAGGCGTGGCTTATCACACGTTGGTTCTTAACCTAATAGGAGATATGAAAACTCCTGCTGAGAGTTACCTTTTTCTCTGACAGGCGTGACCCAGTAATGCTAAATCTCATTTTTACATGAATATTTATGTCAGCATTGCATGACAATTTATTTCATATATTCCAAAACACATGCACGTCTGAGCAGGCAGCTCTGGCTTGCCGAGCGCCCGTCACTGCTGAGTTGGATTCAATAGTGACAGGTATCTGACACAAAACATTACTGCAGGAGGAGGGTAGAAATCACAGAAGTGACATTCTCACAGTTTTGGTGACACCGCGACATGTTTATTTATCCTTCAGTCTGATTTTTAGATGCACCTGCTCTCCTCACTCTGTTTTCCCCTCCTTTTCTAGGCGGTAAATCTCTGCAGCCTGACTTCCAGACTGGAGTGTTGACAGAGAAGCTCAGCATGTAGCAAGCAGCCTCTGGCAATATATAAAAACTACTTTTCATCAGAAATGTCTTTCCTTTACCGTTTTGTTGCTTACGAGGTTGTACATCCAGTGACATAGCTAAGATCCTTTTTGTGTTTCAGCAACACATTCTCTGTGTTTGAACCGTTATTTGTTGAGCTGTTAGAACGTGGGAAAAGAAGTCTTTGAATGCAAACATGGAAATGTGGCTGCAGGAGAAAGAGGTGTTCAGGAGGGAGCACCATATTCATCTCTGTTGAGTCTTTTGTAAATAGAGAAGGAACTTTATTAAACCCCGAAGGGAAATTCAATTGTCTGTAGTCTCAGTGTCATGTCTCAAGTCATCTACTATTTACAGAAGAATCATAAAGTCTGGTGGCTGTGGGTACAAAAGATCTTCTGAATCTTTCTGTCCTGCAGCGAAGAGAGAGGAGCCGTCCACCACCATTGGCCCTTTGGTCCATTAAGGTGATATAAAGTGGGTGATCTATGGTCTTTGCTGCTGTTAACACCAAAATGTCCCTGACCCTGGGATGAATAAAGGGTGATCTTATCCCTTATCTTATACAAAACTAGCCAACAATGAAGTAGCGATAAGGTAAACAATAAATGATGCAAGCCTGTTACTGAACATGTTGAGCCAATTACAAACAAGAAGTCACACTGGGGCCGACGCGGATATAGAACGCGAAATTACTAAATATTCAGAGGCGAATTTTGAAGCGCCTGACGATACACATCAAGCCCAATGCAATTTTGCAACTTTCCGGGGGTAAAAAGACGCGTCCCGGGTGGAAGCAGGAAGACTGACACAACATCATACTGACTGTTTTCAGTTCTGATGAGACACTAGTGTTGAGATGGCTGCCTGTCATGATAGCATTTACTAAGTTGGGGCCAGTACCAGACAAGCACATGAAACTATAATCCATAAACGTAAGGTAACAACCGAGACCTAATGGTGCTGTGACAACAACACAATTGAGTTTGAGACAGTAAAAATCCTTATGGTATGTTGTATCTGAACAGGTTAGCTTACGAGTTAAAGTTACTTAGCACAAATGAAAGTTAAAACAAAGACGTTTAGCAAACTGTTAAAGCACACAAACCATCGTCATATGAGAAATCCGACGCTATGACTCTCCACAAGTTGTCCTTCAGATCATTATCTTTGTAATGTTTGTGTCTTTTATCGAAAAGCACTCTGTTCTCCGACACGTAAACAATCAGCCGGTCGGCCATGTGAATTATATGTCGCAACAACACCTTAAGTGTTACCCTTTCAGGTTTCTGAAATGTCAGCAGGAAAAAAATATGCAGCACATGGGGAGTTGACAGTCAGCATAGCAGCATCAGAAAGCCACAGTCCACGCCTTACTACTGTGTTTGCTAGGCTGAGCTGAAATAAACTCAACAGTCATCACTGTGTCAGTGTGCAGTTTCGCATTAGGTGTTTACCATAATGCAAAACTGCACACTTGTATTTGGATGATTGAATTTGTGTTGGAGACTTGAACCCGTCTGCTGTGTACAGTTAGCCATTCCAGCCTGCTGCTATCCCAGCAGTTTCCAATTGATGGGTCAAAACTGACCTGCATTAATTGTAATCCACCATGAAACTAATACGGCCTCACTTCAAAAATACTGAAATATCCCTCTAATCATAAGACTCTCAGATTCAAAGATCATCAAATGGTATTTTGTCATGGATCATGAAAATAACAGGGTCTGCTTTTTAACCATCATATACAATAAATTACCAATAATAGGTGTCTACTTGAAAAGCATTAAGCACAGTAGATAGATACACAAGATACGTGTTATAGTAAGAATCCCAATAACAAGAAAGGACAGGCACCAGAGGGTCCTCCAGAAAACCTCGTCTTAGGTCTATTTCAACATGTAGTCTAGGCCTTTGAAAGATGTGACCATAGGGCTCTGGAGTGTAGAGGCGAGTCTGCTGATGTTCGGGTGTTGGTTGTTGTGTTCCTTTTTCCATCTGCCGTAGACTTCCAAGTGGAACCTCAAGACCATTTTTGCCTAACACCACCTGACAAGTCATTTGACATCTGAGAGAGTTCAATATATTCCTAAACCTTTAGGAATCTTTTTTTCCTGGCCCCAAATGTCATGAATAAAGCACAGAGCACAGTCAGCAACTGAGTGGCAAAGAGGGTGGGAGCAGTGGCCAAGTCCCATCCATCACTGTCACACACACACACACACACACACACACACACACACACACACACACACACAGTGGTCTGTCAGCAGGATGCAGGCTGATAGCAGTGTGTTAGAAAGGAGATATGGGGGACATGGGAGGGTACATTTGTCTCAAAGAGAAGGAAGAGGGGGCACTAAGAGGGGAAATATATTGAGAAGTGATTTGGTTTTTGATGGGCCACCCCAGTGCTGCACGCCCCTTCTCTGTAAGACTGACGCTGATGGAAACACATGAAAACACTCCAAATGATTGCCAAGTTGTCCCCTTTAGGGATCACAGAAATCCTTCAACTGTCTTTGTGATTTCCACAAATTCTTTAGCTGAAAAAAAAAAAAAAAAAAAAAAAAAAACATCCTGCCATTTCTCCTCCCAACCACTAAACCAAACATCAGAGCAAGCTGTAGAAAATAATGAAGTGATAGCTGTTTTTGGTTTGAATTCAATGTACCTTTTTTAGTGATGTTTTAAACTGTAGCTCAGGGCCAGACTTGATGTCAGAGGTGTTGTGGTTTGGGTTTGTTGTCTGAAAATGATCATTTAGTGACCTAAAAAAAAAAAAACTATTTCCTGGGCTGATTTTGAGGAAAAAAAAAAAAGTAAGTAGTAAGTGACACACTTTCTGTTATTTTCAGAGGGTGTCCATCCATTTGACAGGATATGTTTAAAAAAAGCATATAATAATACAAAGCTCATCATCAAAATCTTCACTTAAAGGGATATTCTAGTGTAAATTTAAGTTATGGCCAAAAAAAACTCACCCACTGTCCTCCAGCAGCGGCTTGTTTGTGAGGGAGCCCTGATGAGTCGATCACCGAGTGCAGCAAGTCATTTCCATGAAGTAGTAATAATCATCATAATAATCATTTTGCACTGCAGACAAGGTAGTTCTTCTGCCTTAGCATCTCAGTCTGATTGCATTTCCATGAAGTAATAATCATAAATGTTCTTCCTTGAGCTGCGAAACTCCACTTGACAATTGACTCATCAGGGCTCCCCACAAAAAAGCCCCTGTTGGAGGACAGTGGGTGAGTTGTGTTTGGTTTCTTTGCTAAAGAAATTAGGCAAAGTTAAAAAAGATGTTTGGTGGCTAGTGCTGTGGCTAGGACCTTATATGTACTGTTGATGAAGTGAGGTGCTGTTCTGAGCATTATTGTGGCTATAGAGTGGCTTTTTGGTTGAGAATTACCTGTGGAAACATAGACCGCTGTGTATTACTATCGTGCGGTCATTACTAAAGTTAGTATAACTAAAGAAGCAAGTGGTCGGCAACATTCATCTCTCGAGGGGGTGTCTAACTCGGTGTTATGTTGTATTTGACCATGACTTAAATTTATGCCAGAATATCCCTTTACTGTTCATTTCTGAACGGGAGCAAATTTGAATTCATTACTCAACTCAGAGGTGTCCACCAAGGCTCCACCCTGGGACCACTTCTTTTCTCGATTTTTATAGTCATTTCCAGCTTTTTTTTCTGATTGTAAGACACAGCTACAGTATATGCACATAATACCAATATATAGTATGAACCTCTAAACCCTCTATTTTGCAAATACAAGAGACCGTTCAATCTAATTGTGTTGTTTCGCAAACCTGGTCATCAGCTAATAAATGACTACTGAAAAGCTGCTGTCAGAACAATTGGTTATTGGGATAAGTCATCGTTGGTGACCCTGAGGGGTCGTTTGTATAGGACAAGAATACTTGTCTGATAAAACTGGGTACCTTGGTTTTCTTTAGTTAACTGCTGCAGAGACAACTTCCTCTTTTATATTAGGCTAAATGACAGACATAGCTGCTGTAGTAGAGAGAGGCGGCCAGCAAAACAGATACCATTATTCTTTTTAGCATCATTAGGGCCCGAGCGTAGCTGCTAAGCAGCTGCGAGAGCCCTCTTGTTCCTGCATGTTTCCTTCTTTCGTTATTATTTTTCCTCCGCTTTAAACTGGAAAATGGCCCACTTCCCACTGGCGAAAACTCAGGAAATTTGGCAGGACGACCGGGCCTGGTGAAAAATTCGATATTCTGAAGTCGCCCAAACAATAAAATGCAAAATGGCTCCATAGCGCCCCCTAAGGTGAAAATTCACATGACGGCTGTACGCTTTGCCATATTGACACAAAAATTGACACACACATGTATCTCAATAAGATCTACAAAAAAGTCAGTGCGGGCGTATCTGTCAAATGTACGGTTAATGGGTTATTTTGCATTTTTTGCAGATCTGCACACATTGGAATTTCGCTAACTCCTCCGAAGGCTTTCGTTCCACCGGCACCACATTTGCGCAGGCCAATCTACCCCCCATGGCCATTAAAAGTTGTACAAATCATGACGCTGCACCCCACGGTTTACGTTCTAGGGGGCGCCAAAGATAACCCAAAATCCACATTCTTAAAAGTCTTATAACTTTTTGTTTTTGTCCTCACTGCCCTCCAAGTTTTCTAGGATGATGCAATGTCCAGCCATCAAAACATTTGTGAAGGAATTTTTACTCCCCAAAAGAGCGCCCCCCCATGGCAGGAGAAAAAAGTCAATTTTTTCTTGTCCCCTTACATGAAAATACACATTGTTGAGTGTCATGCCTGAACGCTTTGTCATATTGACACAAAAATTGACAATCACGTGTATCTCAATTAGATCTACGAAAAAGTCAAAAAGCGCGTATCTGTATAATGTACGGTTAAAGGGCTATTTCGCATTATTTGCCGATTCGCACACATTGGAATGTGGCTATCTCCTCCTAAGGCTTTCGTCCCACCGATACCAAATTTGCTCAGGGCAATCTACACCCCATGCCCATTCAAAGTTGTAAAAATCATGACGCTACACCCCACGGTTTACGTTCTAGGGGGCACCAAATATGACCCAAAAATCCACATTCTTAAAAGTCATTTTGGCCACTGCAGGAGTACAGAGTACTGCAGTTCTAGGGGGCGCCAAAGATGACCCAAAAATCCACATTCTTAAAAGTCTTTTTGGCCACTGCAGGAGTACAGAGTACTGCAGGTGTGGGGGAAAATAACAGATATGTTTGGATGTTTTGGAGGTTACCATGAGGCAAGAAAACAGGTTATGGGTGGAGTGGTCAGATTGGGATAAACTTCATATCAGGTCATGGTGACCCTCTCCCATGGTAGCTTAATTACAATAACAGGAAATCTGGCTCCAAAAGAGAAAGTCACGAAGGGGACTTTCGCACGCACATTTGGCTAAAACTAAGGTCCCTGACGTCAATGGAGGACTATAAAAGATATGTGGATGGGCTGTTTTTTGGTTCTGTCTGTTCGATTGCTCATGAGCTATTGTTCAATGCTGTGATCGGAATAAAAACCCCGCCGAGAGGCTGCCAGCTTGATTCTGTCTTCGTGTAGTTCATTTCTGCACTTTTGCACCGAGGTCATCTTCTAAATAATTGGCGAGCTTCAGCCCAGATTTTGCCGAGGCCCGGGGCGTTGGCCTCCCCACGCGAGTGAAATCCACGTGCCGGCACACAAAAGGTAGGAGTAGTTTATTTCTCTATTAGATGTGTGATTTCACTGTGTGGTGAGACCATCGTGTGTTTGGGCCTTCGCAAAAGAAAGAGTCTAGAATCAAAGGAAGCAGAATCGGGCGGAGTCTCTCGCGTGTTATTCATGTATACATGAAGGCTGCTCCAAAGTGTGTGGAAAATTGTGAGACAGACAAATTAACCATTGGCGTCAAAGCAGCTGAAAATCTTGGCCAAGTGTCTGTTGACTTGTGTCTTACGGGGATAGTAGGAGTAAAGCGAACAGGCCTCGAGCTTAATATTTACGGGGGCACAGAAGTATCGCTAACAGATCCCGAGAACAGTGATCAGCAGAGCGGATCTGTGTTGTGGGTGAACAAGATGCCGGGAAGTCAAATCCTATGGGCATAGAGTTCACGGCGCGCGATTGGATAATTGGCCGGCAGCCAAGCCCTGGCAGTTGTGTAAAAGTTTAACCCGATGAGGTTGGACAGACCTCAGAGATACTGCTCTGCGGAGCCCGGGGAAGTCTGGAAAGGCGAGGAACCTGGACAGACCACCCCATGTTAAGTGCTGCAATCTGGGGCGGACCTTTTACTGAGCTCGAAAGGCAGAAACCCTGCAGGTTGCAGACTTATCTAATATAAATAACGTGGAGAAATCCACTAGGAATTATGGAACAGATTTAGATGTGGTTGACTGGACTGTAAACGAAAGTTCAATCACACTTGCTGGGAAATCCCGCTACATGTCAGGTCTGTCGCTAAGTATGGGCACATTTTAACGTATATCCACAAAAACTTATAGATGAAACGAACGCATTTCTCATAATAAATAACGGGAAATAAAGAAAACAAACAAAACTGTAATCTGAGAACTGAAGTCAATCACACGGAACATTGGACATTGGAGGTATTGAAAATTTATAAGGTAGGAGTTGTTTGATCCACAACTTCCTTCCAAATTGACACCACGGAAAACACGGATGATCAACGCGTTATCTTTATGAATCAGCCAACTAAATAGAATACCTTCAAAAATTCACCGAAAAGAAAAACTAAACAAAAGTATATTTGACGAATAAAAAATAGAAAAACCCCAAAAGTGTGTGTGTTTGAGGACCGGTCCGTGTGTACTTGATCGCTCTTTTCCTTTCTCTCCCTCTCCTGATGTGTGTGTTGTGTGTGTGCATGGTGCAAACTAACATGTAAATAATGGTAAATGTTTAACAAGGTGGTTGCAGGAATCCTATAAGCAAGCTAAGATTAACTGTGTTGCCACGGCTCTGTATATGGTGCCTAAAGTTGGGAGATTTGTGACACAAAACAGATTGTTGGTGGGGTTGGACTTTTCGATTGTGTGCGTAAGGTTGTTGGTGAAGCAGAATTTGGTGTTGGTACAGTAGTCTGAGAGAGGTTGAGCAAAGACGCAGTTAGAGTGTGTAAGCTGAGGCAGTTGTGTGTTGTGTAGTAGGGTGTGGCAGAGACAGAAACAGGAGAAGTTGACAGTCCGAGAGTCAGACTGAGACTGAGAGAACTAGGAAGTAAAAGGGGAAGTGAGGTCAATTCCGCTCTCACTCAGCCCTGAACGAGCCCCCACCTTTGCGTGAGCCAAAAATAAAGCTCCCTCTCTCCCCCGCTATTACTCTCATTTAGTGAGAAACCCCCCCCCCCCCATTTTTTTTGGGATCCAAGACATACAGCCCTCACTCGGTGAGGAGCCCCCACCTTCGTGAGAGCTCCCCCGCCCTTCTCTCCCCTAAAGTTCCGAGACCTGGCGAGCAGTTTTTGTTTTTTCTCTCTTCCTTTCCCTCAGCAAGCTGAATATTAAAACTATCGTACCTGCAGTACAAATATATAAACATTGTGTGCATTTTAAAACACACATAGCATTGCTTTACAAATATAAACATTGGGTAAACCAGTGGCATAATTTAGCCAGAATTCGTTTCGGGGGACAAGGGACCATGGTTCTGCGAACTTCACATGGGATAAGGACACTCTGTGGCCACAAAAAGAAAAAGGTAGGAGATTTCCTAAAATTTGGTTGAGAGTTCTTTTCCCTGTGAGGTGGTGCGGACTACTGCTCTCTGTCCTCTTCGAATCAGTTGGTTGTGTCAGACCGCCTCACGCTGCTACATGCGTGAGACTATGTGAGAAACTATAGGCTGGGTGCAGGAAAGCACTGGCCAGTAGCGTGGGGAGACAGCCGGGCCCGGGTTGTGATGTGTTTTCTAAGCTGAATGCCTGGTGATAAAAGGTTCTGGGTAATTTTTGGGATAACAAGGGGAGTGGCAGGCACGAGTGTGTCTGTCCGTTGTTGAACTGTGAGTTTGGGCAATTTTTTGTTTTATGAGCTCTGACAGATACAGATTGGCTTGATGAGCAGGAGATAGAAAAAGAGGTCAATAAGGGTAGGCCGAAAAGCCTATTCAGGGATCCCAATTGAACAAGCACGTCCCATATCTCCTGACCGATTGTAGAAGAATCACATAAATTGGAAAAATCACACAAATTGGAAAAATTGAAGAAATCAAAACAAGAATTAAAATAGAAGACTGCTGACTGACTCCAGTGACTGACTTTGACTTCAAACACGTGTGAAAGGGTATACCATTGTGAGATGAAAGAGTGAAGTGTGTGGGTTGATTGGATGTTTGTGTGTGTCTGTTTTGTTCTGTGTCAACTAAGTTCTCTGGCAGTGTTCACAGTCAGACTCTGCACCTGTGTGTGTGCTATGGTAGTCAAAGATTGCTGTGTTCCACACTTGTGTTTATTTCATAGTTGTTTATGTGAATACTGTGCTCATTGCGGTCATGTTATCAGTTGAGACATAGAAGGTTAAATACTCCTGGGAAAGAGGTTCTGTTCCCAGTACCATGATGAACACTCCTGATATGAAGGTTTTAGCTTATGCTTAAATATTATGGTTTTTTGTTGTGAACACGTCTTGTGCTACTTAACAAATTTTCTGTGTTAAAGCTGCTGAAATAATGTTTGTAAAAGCATAAAAGATACAAAAAGGAAAGAGAAATGAGGTACCACAAGTGCAAAACTTCTAAAAAACTTCAAATCTAAGAGTTGCTTCTATACATCTGCTGTTTTTGCCAAAATACTGTGTTTTTAAAATATTATTGAAGCTGTTAATATCAATACTGTCTATTGCTATAGAACTGCAGTTGAGGCAAAAGCTTTATACTGTGTATTTTTGGGGAATTTTACAAAACTGCTGATCAAGTTTTAATGTGTGTGCTCATTTGAATAATAAATTTTACAAAAAGCATGACCAGAAAGGGAAGATTAGATACACATTGGTAGGGTGTAAATATACTGAACACTTAAATGATATCCAAAAACTTACAAAGAAATGGGAACATTGAGACAAGGGGTTTGAATTTTTATGACCTAGGGGAGGCACATCTGATGTGGCTGTGTGTGAGGATTTGGAGCAGCGAATCTAAGACCATAAACATAAAGAAAAGTAAAACACGAAAAAACAAGAGATATGGAACTAAAAGTACCGGACGTGTTCAACTCAGCACTTAGATTTTTGTCATTTTTATACTTTAGAGTCCAATTTTAGATTTTAAGTCATACTGGGACCTTTTTGAACCTGATTTCAACGGTCTTCTTGTGTATTTGCTCTTTAAATGCATTACTTCTCCCCCATTCCTCATTCCTCATTACTTTTCTCTTTTTAAATCATGCTCTGATCTTTTGAACTAATAAATAAGAATAGAATAAAAACTAAAATTTTTCTATCTTAGGCTGCCTCAAGACTTATTATTTATTATTATTATTTTATCTCTTTTGAATTTCCAAATGATTTAAAATCATTGCTATGTTTCCTCCCATATGTTTTGAAAAGGAAATTGACAGTTTTAGTGAAATTTTGATCCTGTTTGACCCTGAGGTTAGACCTAAATCCAGATTATGGCCCTTGCTGTGGTTGAGTTTGACACCCCTGGCCTAGATTATGTTCGCTTGGAAATGCACTGATAGTATGTTTTCAATCTTAATAAATGGCACACAGGCTAGCTATGTGCCGTGGAAAACCAAACACCTTGTTGGGCTGATTGCCAGACTACCACGAACTGAACAGGGGGCAGGGAGATGGATACAAGTTTTTGAGGATGAACTGTAGGAAAATGTTGACTACACCAGACATGAAAGCACTCTTGGCTCAACTGCTGGGAACTAAGACGATGGAGGAGTTTCTGCGCAAGGCAAAACAAGGTTGAATGACGAATCCCATGAGAGATGGGAGTGAGTTCAATGCATATTGTGATGTGATGTGTGATGTGATGTGGAGGGTGCTGCCAGATGAAGAGCGGAGACCGAAAGCGGAAGCGGAAGTTGAAACAGCCACCTCTAAGGAAGACACTGGAAAAAGAGACCCAGCGATGCAGACCGTGCAGATGCTAACTGCGGTAAAACCTGTGACAGTAACCTGTTTAATCACCTGTTGTGAATGTTTATCCTCAGACAGAACCCTGCTCCATAGAGAGGATATATCCCGGCAGGGGGAGAGAGTGGAATTCTGACGGACGTGTGACGTCTAAAGACCTGCTGGGGATGGGATCATACCAGACATTTTTGACAACTGCCCAGACCAGGGACGTCTCTGGCTGGAGCTGTGGTGGGGGGCCCCAGCCCAGACAATGTGAAAGTGGTGGCTTACTACAGTGTGATTTTTGTGGATGATGGAAAAAGTTAATTGTTAGTTTTAATTCTAACCCTGTTGACCTTATAGACCGAAAGGATCTATGTAGAAGTAACATTCAAAGTTGGTGCTCACCGCAAGGTGTGTAAGTAGACAGTTATGGTTTATAGTTTTAAAGTAAATATCGTGACATTAACATTGTAACATTCCTGTTCTGTTAGTTTAATACTGATAAATCTAAATGCAGCTGTGCTGAATCCACATACACTCCTCACAGATGTGCCACCTGTAAAAGTAATAGGAAGCTATCAAAGGTCAATAAGGCCACTGAAAATGGTTTAGAGTCAAATAACTAAGCTTTGTACCAATAGTATTAACAAACAGACTTAGGATCTGACTTTCACAGTGATTCACGCTGTGAAAGGGGGAGATGATGAGACAATTAAAACGACATTTTTAGAATATGCTGACAATAGGTGATAAACTTTTGGGTCATTGTGATATGCGTTTTGTTAGATGAATTGAAGAGAACAATAAAACGGAAGTGGGACACTTTTCCAGTTCCAGAGAGACGTTTTTAGAAATCTATTCATAGGCAATGTGGACATGATTAAAACTGCCAAGGGAGATGTTACATGTTTGTAAGGATGACGGGTTCAGTCGATGGATGGAAGCAACACCATCAAAAGATCTTGGAGTCAAAATAAATCTGTCATTGCATGATTTGGTACATCATTTTGGGGAAGAAAGTTAATCTCTCAAGTAAATATCTGATCAGAGAATTTGCACTAACACTAACCTATAGGAAGATGCTTTGCTACTTGCGCTTATGAGCTCTCACAATCAAAAGCACTGAGATAAATCTTTCACTGCATGATTGACTAACTTACAAAGCTATGCTTTACTGCGGCTAAATAATTAAGTTTTTCGCTTGAGCAGCTGAAAATTAGTGAATTAAATATATGAGGCATCTAACTTCGATGCAAAGATCTATCGATTAGCAGGAGGAGAGCCAAAATCTGATCCCGGTCAAGAGGTGGAGGCCAGGCGAGCCAGAGCACCAGGTGTACATCACCGTCCTCTGAGGAGGGTGGCAAAAAGAACAAGGAGAAGACCTGAGCACTTTGGTCCTGGTGAACTCTACTTCAGTGCAGGAAGTGGCACGAACCACGACGGGAAGGACCGTACACGGTGGTGCGAGCTACTCCCACAGCAGTCCTGGTCGAAAGGAGCGGGACGTGGTATCACCTGTCACGCTGCACGAAGGTTCCAGGCAAAACCAAGGGCGGTATTGAGTTGAAAAACAAAGATGAAAAACATGACATTGTGGTGTGTGCTGGTGGTAATGAACTCTCTTCCATGGATGCCTGTAGAAGCAGTGGAGCTAGAGACTCAAAGGGGAAAACAGAGCACCCCGGGGACCAGAGCCACGCCAGAGACCAACCCGCACGACAGAGGAGACAGAGCATCTGAATCAGATGAGTATGATGCAACCACACAGACACCAATCCATGACGTGCTAAACTCTGAGCCAGCACTCTCAGCTGAGCTCAAACACATAAACATTCCATACCAAAACATAACTGTTAACTGTAAAATTACGTGGGTATTGTCATGGTTTCCTGAAGCTAATATGAGCGAACCGTTTATAACTAGACCTGTTTGGTTTGAAAATCCAGAGCAAACGTTAGATCGAACATGTGAAAACATAACTATGACCAGACCGAATATGCATTTCTTTCGCAAGTCAAACTGTTGCAGTAGCTGGCAGTTACTGGATGTGTGGAGACATTGTGCGAAACACACTTCCACCAAAATGGATTGGGCTCTGTACATTAGTGCGAATGAAAGTGTCAGTTGTCGTGTTGCATGACGGCGTCGAGGAGATCCTTAAAATCTGGGAAGAAACAGCCAAATTGAGCCGCCATAAAAGGCAGATTGACGAAAAGGTGTACATCAATAGTATAGGAGTGCCAATAGGAATTCCAGAGGAGTTTAAAGCTCAGGATGAGATTAGAGTAGGTCTAGAGTCGATTCTCCCTTGGATCACCACTAATAAAAATGTCCAATGGATAGATTACATTTATTACAACCAACAGAGGTTTGTTAATGCGACATCTGAGATCCTGAGCGCTCTCGGTATTCAGTTACACGCAGCAAGTATAATGGCCCAACAAAATAGACAGGTTTTGAATTGGCTGACAGCGGATAGGGGAGGAGTATGTCACATGTTCGGGAAACATTGTTGTACCTTTATTCCAAATAATACAGCCCCTGATGGTATATTTCCTGTAGCAATGGGGAAGCTTACAGAACTCAGAGTTGAGCTCAGGGAGAGTGCGGGCAAGGGGGGACTGTCATGGGATTGGTTAGACCAAATTTTAGGAAAATGGGGAGCCGTTTGGGCTAAGATAGGACTCAGTGCACTAGCAGTCCTAATTTTAATTTCCTTTTTGATATGTTGCATCATCCCCATCCTGAGGAGGCAGTGTCTGCGGGCTCTGGAAAGACAGATGACTGTGGTGGCTGGTCTCCAAAAAGCTCAAATGTTGGACTTGCTGACGCCGTCCCAAATGGCACAACTCCGTTTGAACGACAGCAGGGCAGGAAATGGGGACTATACGGACTTATACCCAAACCCTGCCTGTGTGGGTGACTCTGATGAGGACGGACTGAGTCAAGTGTAAGGTAAACAAGAAGCAGAGGTGCAGCAGCAGCGAGCAAGCAAAAGGAAAAGCGAATGGGACGACGGAGCAAATGGACTATCATATCAATACACACAAATTCTGTTGTTATCCATGTGTGTTCTGCATACTCACATCATTTACACATACTCAGTCCAGGTATATGGAAACGGGTAAAGGAAATGGTTAATCATTTTTTGAGCAAAATAAAACATGTGGTTGATTGTCATGTAGAGTGGGTCAGTGAAAAGCTGTTAGATTTAGCAGGTTCACGGTGAAGGTCGCCAGCGGGAGGGGCCGCAGGGGAATTTCCTGCTCAAAGCAGCCAGCAGGTTTTCGCCCCTGCCAGATGTGAACCAAGTCACAAGTGATTTAAGTGTTGTATTTGTGAAAATGTAACATTCGTGATCACAAGCATGAGTTGGATTGGTTTGAAAACATACATATGCATCTGTAATCAATCAAGTAGTACCATATCACATAACGTTGTCATAACTCATTCATGTAACGTAACTAAGGCTAAGACAAGATAAGTGTGAATCTCCAACGGCGTCAGTGAACTTGGTTAATCTTGAAAAGATTCAAAGGGGGGATATGTGGGGGAAAATAACAGATATGTTTGGATGTTTTGGAGGTTACCATGAGGCAAGAAAACAGGTTATGGGTGGAGTGGTCAGATTGGGATAAACTTCATATCAGGTCATGGTGACCCTCTCCCATGGTAGCTTAATTACAATAACAGGAAATCTGGCTCCAAAAGAGAAAGTCACGAAGGGGACTTTCGCACGCACATTTGGCTAAAACTAAGGTCCCTGACGTCAATGGAGGACTATAAAAGATATGTGGATGGGCTGTTTTTTGGTTCTGTCTGTTCGATTGCTCATGAGCTATTGTTCAATGCTGTGATCGGAATAAAAACCCCGCCGAGAGGCTGCCAGCTTGATTCTGTCTTCGTGTAGTTCATTTCTGCACTTTTGCACCGAGGTCATCTTCTAAACAGGATACACACACATACACACACACACACACACACACACACACACACACACACATACACACACACACACACACACACACTCAGAGTCTGTTTTTTAGCACCTGCAAAAACATGCTGTTTACATATTTGACAAGAATGCAGAGGCTTCCTTTTGCCCCTGAAAAAAATCAGATTTCAAACACAACTTGACTGGTCATTTCTCCAAAAGACAACCATGAAGCTCCATCCAAACCTGAAGCAGATAGTTGGTGCATGTGTACAGTAACCTGAGGGGAGTGAGGTGACTATTTCTGAGGAGAACATGAGCAGTGAAGATTCACCTTGGAGCTAGAACAGGGACGTGCACATGATTATACAGGGGCAGGGGCTCAAGTTTTTTTCCAGTCATTTATACAATATGGAAATTAATGTGAAATTAAAACACAAATATGTGTGATGAACTGTTTTTAAAACTTAAACTTCAAATAAAAATTGTAAACTTCAAAACATATGCAAATTTTTAACAAAGAACATAGTGATTTACCTCTATTTACATCAAAATGCAGGCAATGGCCCAGGCGTTCTTTGTAAAATTATTTACAAAACACTGTATAGTCTCACAAATGTCACTTTTTATTTATGCCACTACAAAAAAACATGATGTAAATGATGCATGATGTAAAACATGATGTAAAAAACTTGTGTAGATCCTCCTCTATGTCAGTCCATGTGTAATTTTTCCATAATTCTTTGTTTTTTGCAGCATTTTTGTTAGTGTAACTGCAGATTGTGCTGACAGTGTCTATGGCACAAAAAAAAAAAAAAATTAAAATGCCTCAACATGAACCCCTGGTGGTCTCTGAGGGTGAAACCTGCTAACTGCTGCAGCTCTGTCAGCTTCAGTCTCCCATGCAGAGCTCTGAGCGCATGTGTGGCTCTGCACCCTTAGCAGCGTTGCTAACTCCTCAGTAAGGAAAGCCTGCTTCATGTCAGAGTCTCTAAACTCCAGAAGAAGTCGATAAAAGTCCCTTTCTTTCTAAAAAAAAGTCGTTAGGGGGTCTGAAAAGTCATTGAATCTAACAACAAAGTCGCTAGGTTTGCAACTACGTGTCCCAGACTGCATCCCTGCTGAGAGTCCCTCCCTCCCTTCTCATGTTGCAGGAAGAACGTAAGCGCCCGCCCCTTGTCAATCAGTCACCATATAATTTTGGATTGGTTGTT